GGCTGCAGTGCCTGGCATCCTATTTGGGGTTTTCTGTGGAGCGGTTTTCTGGGAGGTGCTCTTGAGGCAGATGATTGCCTGGGAATCCATCCCTGCTATGAGGAAATATTCCAGTGCACAGATTGAATGACTCCTGTCAAAGCTCTCCATGGCTTTCACACCTGGTAGTGCCGGTGCCTGGGGCTGCATCCACCACAAAGCCCTTTGGAGGGATGTCAAACACCCCTGGGTTTGTATTTCCCCCAGCCTCCCCATTGGGAGAAACCCCATCAGAACTCATCCAGCTTCCCAAAACTGGCATCCTTCTGCTCAAGGAGAAGTGTTAACCTATTTAGTCTCCCAGATGCAACGTGGGGTATTTCCTCATCAGTTATAGGAGTACAAACAGGGTATAGAGACTGAAACCCTTGAACCTGCCAAGCTTTGTTTCACCTCGAAGCTGCAGGTCTCCTCTTAACTTCTCTTTCCCCTCTGCCCTGTATCTCTTTCAGTACAACAAGAGCAACAACGTTGAATGGCTACTACATCCCCAAGGATACCTGTGTGTTTGTCAACCAGTGGCAAGTGAACCACGATGAGTGAGTATTCCAAGGCAGGAAAAGGTAGATTGGGTCAAAAACTCCTGGGCATGGAGCTGCTGTGGGGTGACTTGGTCACTGGCTCAGCAACTCCCCATCACGTGGTGATGTCCTCAGTGCACCGGACATCCCGTGTACGTGCAAGGGCTGGCAGCTTGGGCTGCTGAATAATCAGGAATCAGTAGATCCTCCTGCCAAGCAGCCCCTGTGATCCGGGGCTATGGCTTTGGATGTGCTCAGTGGGAACGTCCCGGTTCCCTCTTCCAGAGAGAAACATGTCCTGACGTGACTCCCGTTAAACTCCATCAGCTCCTGTTGTTAGTGCTGGTAATCAGCTTGGGTGGATGGAAGGGGTCTGGACAGCAAAGCCCCATGCTACCCTTCCGCTGCTCTCCAGTAGAGACCCTCCTGGGCAGGGGAGCAAGCCTTGACACAAAAGGTAGTTCCCGGATCAGAAGCTTGTACCCAAGTATCCCAGCAGCAGAAACATCACAGTATTCCTCCTGAGCACCGCAATGGGAACGCTGTCTTTGGGGGCAGTGAGGATTCCCTGTGTCCAAGCAGAAAGTCTCAGCTAAGAACTGGAAAATCCCACCTAGCACCTCCCAGGAGCCAGGCTGGGATGGGTTGGGAAGGCTTCAAGGTCGGAAAACTCTCAGGTCTCCATCCTTGCTTTTTGTAAGAGCTGCTGACCGATTTCCATGCTCCCCTTTTGGCTGAGGCTGCAGGATGCCCAGCTATTGCACGCTGAATTAAATCCACCTCCGGGATCTGCACAGGCAAACACAGGCTGAGTTTGGAATAGAGATTTCAATAGCCTGAGCTGATGGGCTCTGTCATCTCGTTGGCATTTCAGACCAGGGACAGAGGTTGCCAAAGGGGTTTTGGGTGGCGAAGTGCGGAAGCACTGCGGTGCGTCTCTCCGGGTGAATCCAGCTCCTCAGCTGGGTCTCCTTTATGCCGCAGGAAGCTTTGGAAGGAGCCCTCAGCCTTCAAGCCTGAGCGGTTCCTCAACGCCGCAGGGACGGAGCTCAACAGGACGGAGGGTGACAAAGTGATGACTTTCGGCTTGGGCAAGCGGCGCTGCCTCGGCGAGTCCATCGGCCGCTGGGAAGTCTTCCTCTTCTTGGCCACGCTGCTGCAGCAGCTGGAGTTCAGCCTGCGGCCCGGCGTGGAGGTGGACATCACCCCTCAGTACGGGCTGACAATGAAGTACAAGAAGTGCAGCTGCTTCCAGATCAAGCAGCGCTTCCCCACGAAGAGCTCTGCATGAGCCGCGGGAGGAAGCATCGCGCCGCGCGAGAGCCGGCCCTGGGAGCTGCACACTCAGCCTGCTTTTGCTAATGCTCTCTAGAAGCCAGCACAGCTCCTCACTGTGTTGCTTCACTGGGGGCTTGTTCATCTCATGTAAATGATGGTGGGGAGGGATAAAGCCTGCTTTGTCAGGCTCCCCATGCCCCCCCCAAGCAGGTTCCATTGCTGTTGCCTGCATAAAAGCTCACCATGGGGAGATCTGTGGGGATCACAGCCCTGGGGTGGGGAGGGAGGGAGGGAGGAGGATGCTTTGGGCTGGGAGAGGCAGTGTGGGGTAGCGGTAGGGGTGTTCTCACCCTGCCTCCTGCAACACTCCCTTCATCCACCAAATAGGAATCAAGCTGTGGGATCCTCCCTGGGAAACCTGGCTTTTCCCACAGGGAGAAGCCTCTCAAGCTCTGGCAGAGCTCTTTGTGAAGCATTTAGCTCCTTCTGCCAATGGGAACGGGCTCTTCCTGCAGCTCCAGCTGCCTTCTGAAGGGGTCTTGGGGTGATGCAGGGGCCAGACCTGCACCAGCACCCACCTGCCCTCAGTGTAAATGCATTAAATGAACCCCCAAGTGTTTTACCCATCCTCGGAGACAGCCTGAGAGGTGAATGAATGTATATCCATCAGCAGTGCTGTTCACACACTGAGATGGCTAAATTCCTCCCAGGAAACCCCCTGGAAAATATCCAAGGTCTGACAGTAAGGGGCAAGAAGCAATAAGAGGCACATTCTGGCTTCCAGAGAATGTATTTGCTGCTTTTAATCAACTAATAGTTTGTGGGTCCTTTAGCAAGCAATAGAGTCCCATATTCAGCCTAGTAAAGGTTTGAGGGCTGCAGGAGATGGTGAATTCCCATGGCAAATTGAGCACTGGTTCCTGCTGCTTCCTACCTGTGTGGAACACATCCAGACACTGGGATATGAACTGCAGTGATTCTAACCCAATAAATACTTATACTGAAGTGCTGAAAGTTTCTTGTTTGGTTCTTTCTGGTCTTATTCCTCTGAGAAAAGATTTTTTTTGAGGAAAAACCCAAGATGATCTCTCTGTCATCCTTAAAAACTGACTTGGATGTGTTGGATCAGGGTTTTCCTGCAGGGACATGAGCTGGATGTTCCTTTACCATCGGGGCTGTGACACCAGTGCTATTAGGGGGAGCGTTTAGTCCTCACGGGAGCTGGCTCTGGTCCTCTCCCTGTGTGTATAGAGAAGCTAAAGCCTTAACAGAGAGGTGATGCTGAGTTTTGATGGGTTCAGGATTTCACCCAAAATCAAGCATGGCCCTTTTATTCCTCCAAATAAATGAATCAGGAGCTTGCAAACAGCATTTCAGGACCCTCAGGGAAGTGATCCACAGAGGGATGCTTCAGACCATCGCCTGCTCTGTGCTTCCCCAGCTCAGAGCATGGTTATTTCTGAAGGCTTTTCATAGCACCCCTTGAAAAAGGTGATAAACACTAAATTACCATGTAATTAATAGGGGAATATATGGAAAACTGGGGTCTGGGCACACCTGAAGGGCATCTCTCCAGGGTTTCCAGCTTGCTGGGGTAGGAAGCTCTTGCCCCACAGGTATGTTTCCTTGAGGCACAAATGCTTGGAGCTGGGGTCTAATATAAGGAATCGTGGCAAACTTGTGCTGAAAAGTGTGTCCCTCCCCAGATCCCTGCCCTGGGATGCTCTGTGGTGGGAGCTGCTCTTGCCTCATCCAGGCAGCTATCAAAGTAAGAGCAGAAAGGTGACTATTTGACTCCATCTCTCACCTGGATGGGATGGACAACCACAGGGGTAGTTTGGATGAGGTGGCTGTGCCCTGGAAAGGCTGCTCTGGAGAAGAGGAGCCTTCCTCCCACCCTAACCTGCCTCACCTTCACAGTGCTGTTACTGACTGTGTTCCCAATGACTGTGTGTTCCATTAGCCTCCGTGCATAACAGCTCAGGAAGGGATTCCACACCCAGCCTGCTCCTTCCTCCCAGTAATGAGCAAAACAGGCTCAGGATTCCGGGGGGGGAAGCTGGGGGTAGCAGAGCTGAGGAGAAAGCAGGAGGTGAATGTACCTGTGCCTTGGGTGGGGAGTCTGGGAGAGGGGATGGAGGGGTGATGGAGATGATGGAGGTGGTGGAGGCATGATGGAGGAGTGATGGAGGTATGTGACAGAGGTGGTGGAGGGGTGATGGAAGTGTGATGGAGTGGTGTGGAGGCGACAGGGGGTGATGGAGGTGATTGAGGTGATGGAGGTGATGGAGGTGAGGGGTGATGGAGGTGTGGCGGAGGTGATGGAAATATGATGGGGAGGTGATGGAGGTGACAGTGATGGGGGTGTGACAGAGGCGATGAAGGTGCGATGGAAGTATGATGAAGGGGTGATGGAGGTGATGGAGAGGTGGCAGATGTGTGGCAGAGGTGAAGGGGGTGATGGAGGGTTGAGGAAGGTGTGACAGGCAATGGAGGTGTGGTGGAAGTGTGGTATGATGGAGGTGACAGAGGGGTGATGAAGGTGATGGACGTATGATGGAGGTGGGGTGGGGGTGATGGAGAGGTGATGGAAGTGATGGAGAGGTGATGGATGATGAAGGGATAATGGAGGGGTGATGAAAGGATGATGAAGTGGTGATGGAGGGGCAACTGAGGTGTGGGAGGGGTGATGGTGATGGAGGAGTGATGGAGGTGAGGGAGAGGTGATGGATGATGGAAGAGGTGATGGAGGGGCGATGGAGGTGACAGGGGTGATGGAGGTGATGGGGTTGACGTGTGAATGAGGTGGTGGAGGTGTGAGGACACTGGCAGTGACACGGGGCAGATATGGCAGAGAGCGTGCGGCAGCAGTGAGAGAGATGTGATGGAGGTGAGGGTGGGATGGGTGTGATGGACGAAGTGTGCCAGTGGCGACAGGTGACGGAGGGGTCACAGCGGCGATGGGTGACGGAGGGGTCACAGCGGCGATGGGTGACAGAGGGGTCACATCGGCGATAGGTGACGCAGGGTCACATCGGCGATAGGTGATGCAGGGGTCACATCGGCGATAGGTGATGCAGGGGTCACATCGGCGATAGGTGATGCAGGGGTCACATCGGCGATAGGTGATGCAGGGGTCACATCGGCTGTGCCCGCAGCGACGGGGAGGAAGTGACGGAAGCCCGGAGCGGCGGTGAGAGAGGAGGCCGCGCTGAGGCGGGAGCGGGCGGCGGCGCCAGGTGAGGCGGGGCCGGGACCGGGACCCCCCGCTCCGCGCCCGGAGCCCGCCGGGGGCAGGCGGCACTCGCGGTGCGGCGCTGAGCACGCCCGGGCACCCCGGGAGGCGCGGCCGCGGCGCCAGGCCCTGCGCGGGGCCGTGCTGGGAGCGGGTGGGGAGGCCTGGCCCTGGCCCGGGGCCGCGCGGGTTGGGGGGGGCCCTCATGCTGCCCCCAAGGGTGAGGGGATCTCCTTGTGCTTCTCCCCCGGCGGAGGGGTGTCCCTTGTGCCCCCCCTCAGGGGCTCCCTGTGCTGTTCGCCCCGGGGACTGCGTTTCCCTGTGCTGGTGAGGCGGACTGGGCCGGGGGATGAGCCCTGCTGGGAGTGGGTGCGCTCTGCCTGCCCGTGTCCCGGCGGCAGAGCTGGGAGGTCTCTGTGGCTGCTTTCCTCGTAACTGAGCCAAGCCAGTTCGCTGTGAACTCATCTTTCAGCTGGGGGAGCATGTATTGTGGCTCCTTGTCAAGCAGCAGTGCTCGCTGTGCCGCTATTGAATGGTTTATGTTGGAAGGGACCTTAAAGCTCATCCAGTCCTAACCCTGCCATGGGCAGGGACCCCTTCCACTAGAGCAGCTTGCTCCAAGCCCCTGTGTCCAACCTGGCCTTGAACAGGGATGGGAGAAGGTGCTGAGTTATTGTTTACAAACTCTGTGTATTAAAGAGCTGTCTGCATGGCTGAGTAAGCCTTGACTTTCTTTTACAAGTGGCAGTGATGTCAGGCGTATCAGTAATACCCACCCAAAGGGATGTTGGGGAGAAGATCTCTGTGAGTTGTATGGCAAAACCTGTAATATGTGACAGACTATTAGACAGGAGGTTTGACTTTCCAGGTGTGTGTAACCACACAGATGTGCTGCTGTTCTCATGTGTGATGTTGTAAATAATTCACTGCATGTGTTGCTCAGTCCCTCTTCTAAGTGACTTCTGCACAAAGCAGTAGAAGTCTCCCTCGAGATGAGGAGGTTCCCTTGGTTTAGTTCGTGTTTGAATGCAAACATAGATCACCTTTTGCCTGGTAGAAGGAGTCTCTTGTTTTTGAATAGTATCCTTGGAAGGTGGTGATGTGTGCAGAGCCCTTCCCCTCATTTCCAGAAGGAGATAATAAAAGTGGGAAAGGGAGTGAAGTTTTAGGTGTACTGTAGGTGCTTGGTGATATGTTTTCTTTTGAAACTGCCTTTTATCAGTCTCACCTTGGCATCCAGGCATTGTTATCATGGCTTAATATGGATCCAGAGAAGCAGGAAAGAGAGGAGGCTGGTGCTGATGGATTTCCACCTTAGTGACCAAATTTAGCTTCCTTTTGAAGCATCCCCTGTTTTCAGTCCCCTGGAAGCAGGGGGAAGTGAGGAGTTTTCCTGTTAACATGCATCCTAGTTATTTCCAGGGTTATTTTTCACTTCTTTTTCCAAGAAGCTCAGGATAGGAAGGGCTTGAAGAGAATTAAAACAGCACTCAGAAACAGGGTTTATATATTGCTGTTAATCTCTTCTTGGATTATTTCCTGGGCTCTTTGTGCTCCTTACAGTAAATATCTGTTGATTACAGCATGAAAGGCAAATATATCCAGTGGTCATTTCCCTTTAGGAACTTGTCAGCTCTCTTTTGCTGCTGTGCCACTGGTGAGCCTGTCATCTTCTGGGGCCTGTGTCTGGAGGAAGAGATCTCAGCTCAAAAGATGTGCTTAGGCTGCTTCAAAGTGTGTTGACACAAGTTCAGTCAAGCATCAGGGCTGAGGGAATTGCGTGGGACTGAACAAAGTGGGTTTTCTCCCCCTTGTTCTGGTGGAACTCAGTGCTAGGAAGAAATGCAGCTTCCTGATTGCAGCAGGAATACTGATATTCCTGGCTCTGGAGAGCGGGAAGGCTTTTATCCTGGACTCCAGCACTGGGTTTTCCTCCCCTCCTTCTGTATCTGCTCCCTTAAAGGTGTTGGTTTTCATTTGTATGTTCAGAGCTGAATCTTCTCCTTGCTGATTATTCACAAAAGTTCTTCTGCCCCACTGTTCCTGTGCCAAAACTCTACAAACTCCCTGAAATTCCAGGGATAATGGCCACAGACAGAATTAAATACCAAATATTTCTGTTGGGAGCTTGAAAATGATTTGTTTCATGAAGCAAACAGTGATCTGTGTCACAATGGTATAGCAAAGCCCCATCCAGGGATTTACACACTCGCTGGGATGTTATTTCCACCCCACAAAGAAGGGAGAAGCTGACAAAGCCGGAGCCTGGGTGGGTGCCAGGCTTTGGGCCGGGGAATACAGTTGATGCTGATTCAGGTTGTCACTTTCTGCATCTTGTTACAGCCAGGCCTGTGTCTCTTTACAGTGGTTGTGTGCCAGAAAGATGGCTACAGACTGGCTTGGGAGCATTGTGTCTATTAACTGTGGAGAAAGCTTGGGAGTCTACCAAGGACGAGTGTCTGCTGTGGATCAGGTCAGCCAGACCATCTCCCTGACACGGCCCTTCCACAATGGGGTCAAGTGCCTCGTGCCAGAAGTCACCTTCAGGTTAGTGGCTGTCTTTTCCCCTCCTACCTTTTCCCACGTCGGTGGTGGTTGGCATGGTTTTGGGGTTGGTTTTCCTCAGAAACAAGCTCTTTGCTTTAATCTCCCTATTGCTGCTGAGCATTATTATTGCCCCTAGGCAGTGAACTGCAGTTATCAAATCCAACTCCATCTCTTCTGCTCTTGCAGTGTGCTTTGCGCTGCAGAGACAGGAGGGAGTTTCGAACCAAGAAGCTGAATTGATGCTGCAGTGGTGTTACTCTCAGGAGCTCTTTGCCACCAGCTCCTGGTAACACTGTGTGTAAAAAGAAGACTTAAGAGTCGCTCATCACTGCCATTTTCCTGTTACCTGGCATCTTATAACAACTAAGACGCCGAGTCATTGACTTGTAAATAAGATTGATTCCCTGATACTCTTAATCTTTCTTTCTCCCTGGATTTTAAAGAGACTGGGGTAAGATGATGATGACTATATTCTTCTAGGAGATACGTGGAAGTCAGTAACAAGCTCTTATTATATCCCAGTTGAACAAATACTTAAGTTTTGAGTAGAAGCCCCTAATTTCTAATGTATTTCTTGCCATCAGGGCAAATGGAATTCTTTGTAACTGCTGCTTTGTTTGGTTTTGGCTTGTACCCAGTGCTCCTTTGGTTTTCTTTATCCCTTTTCTGAGGAAACGGGAAGCACTGTCCTTGTCTGAGCATGAATTGCCCTCATCTGAGGGTAGATTACTGGAGAAAGGGATTAAATGTAATAGTAGCCTCAAGGCTGAGATGAATTAAGTGTCTGGAAACTGGTAAACCAGTGCAGATCTCTGCAAAGGTCAGTTGCTTCCATTTTCTGCTTGAGTGCTGACTGTTCCAGCTTGGAATAGAGCCTTTCACACAAAACCCAGGTGCAGTGTAGAATTACTCATTGGTGTTTTGAGGATTCAGGCCATTTCAGTTTGATGTGTGTGTGATATTTCAAAGAAATATCCAAAGACAAATGTGTGATTTTGTGCTTCACTTTCTAATTTCCATTTTCAGATCAGTTAATCTCCTTCCATTTCTATTGATCTGCCGAAACGAGCTCGACCAAGAAGAGAGTGCCCTTCCGGGTAACTCCCTGTTACCTCCTTAAAGTCCATTTTTCCTCATTTCTATTGATCAGACAAACCACACTCTACAATGTAACACATTTTTCTTTAGGGGTTTCTTGCAGAGGTACCTCAAATGCTAAATTCCTCATGTCTGCTTTTCTTTCCCTGTTTTTAGGGCAGGTGACATTACTGAGCTGAAAATCCTGGAGATCCCAGGGCCAGGGGACAACAGACAATGTGGGGATCTGCCCCAGACAGAGATGGGCATCCCTGGTGTTGGGTGCCAAGTGGGTCCCAGTCAGAATGGCACTGGGAAAGCGTTAAAGAAACCCATGTCCAGCAGTGCCCCACAGAACATCCCGAAGAGAACAGACACCAAGAACCAGGATATTATCATCTCTCCACAGCAGCAGTGCTCCAAGAGCTACATGGATCGGCATGTGGAAACGCTCACTCAGTCCAAAGGCTTCCGCCGTAGACACAATTCCTGTGAGTATCCATGTTATTCCACAACTTTCCTTTTCACCACTGAGTTATGGCTGCAGTATCTTCTCTTCTTCCTCAAGAATGTTTCAAATGGGTCTGGAAACTTTCGCCTTTATACTTGTCTTACCTCCTGAAGGTCTGGAGAAGAGGAAGTTAAATAGTGAGGAGAAAGACTTCATAGAATTCCAGACTGGCTTGTTGAAGGGACTTTAAAGCTCATCCAGTTCCAACCTCTGCCATGGGCAGGGACACCTTCCACTAGAGCAGGTTGCTGCAAGCCCCTGTGACCAACCTGGCCTTGAGCCCTGCCAGGGATGGGGCAGCCACAGCTTCTCTGGGCACCCTGTGCCAGCGCCTCAGCACCCTCCCAGGGAAGAGCTTCTTCCTAAGAGCTCATCTCAGTCTCCCCTCTGGCAGGTTAAAGCCATTCCCCTTGGCCTGTCCCTCCAGGCCCTTGTCCCAAGCCCCTCTCCAGGTTTCCTGCAGCCCCTTTAGGCACTGGAGCTGCTCTCAGGTCTCCCCTTCAGGAGCCTTCTCTTGTCCAGGCTGCCCCAGCCCAGCTCTCTCAGCCTGGCTCCAGAGCAGAGCTGCTCCAGCCCTCGCAGCATCTTAGTGGCCTCCTCTGCAGTCGCTCCAACAGCTCCACATCCCTCCTGTGCTGCTGCCTCAGAGCTGGGTCAGGACTGCAGGGGGGGAGTCTCCCCAGAGCACAGCAGAGGGGCAGGATTCCCTCCCTTCACAAGCTGTGCCTCCAAGTATTACAAGTATAGGTCTTCCAAACGTTTGGCACTTGCCTTTGCATCATCCTACCATCCTCACAGTTATAATCCCATCCCTGATCTGGAGTATGCAAAGTGTTTTCTCTGTCTCAGCATTTCTGAGAGAAGTGTGGTTGATGCCTATTTATGTAAAAAGCAAATAGTTCTTTAACACTTTAGAATATTAAAGGGAATATTCAAGTTTAATTAGTGGAGATATTCCCTATATGGATTATTCTACTCTGTTGGCATCCAGTGTTAGAAAATGGAGAGCTGAATAACGCTGGGTAGAATGATTTCCTCATTCTTGCTGCTTGAAGATTGCCCATTTGTCAGCCTCCAGTTTTCCTCTAAAAGGAACTGGAAGCATAGAGCAAGCTTTTCTATTTAAAGCCTACCTCTTGCAACATCACCCTACAAGTAACTACTGGTGTTACTTGCTGTGTTGTTAAAAACGCACATTAACAGCTCTAATGAGGCTGGTGTAAAGATACAATCAGCACATCTCCTAAGTCAAGCATCCCTCATCTTTATTCTGTTCATTAACTCTTCAAACTCTTCTTTTTGTGCCAAAATTGGCTATGTTCTCTTTTTCTTCCTCAAAGTCCCCTTAGGCTATGCGCCTTTCCAGAGCTTCCTCATGCAATTATTTAACCATCAGTGGATATCCAGCCTATTTCCATTACTTCATTGCTGAAGCATCCTTATGTATCCAGCATATTCCCATGACTTCATCTTTCCCCCCTGCCTTGCTTTTGTGTTTAGCAAAGAAACAAAACCCAGGTGGGAAAGGCCAGTTAAACAGGGAGCTCAAGGGCTATATTTTGTGGAGGAATCCCAAGGAACTTCTGGAAGTTTTCCTCTAACTTTATTGCTGTGATTGCCAAAGGGGGTTGATGGGAGGAGGAAGGACAGAGTGATGTGAGGAGGAGGCATGCACGCCCTGATGACCAACCATCATCAAGCCTCTTTGGTTTTGAGTGTTTTACTTCTGCCTAGGCCTGAACACTGCCTGGTGCTTGCTGTAGGAAGAGACCTGTGGTTCCCTTAAGGTTAATGGCTTGGGGTTTTTAAGTCCCTAACTCCTCTTAAGTTCCATTTAGTTGTTTGAGTACGTTCCTTTGGTTGGTTTTAGAAAAACTTGTTTCATCTTCAGCCTTCACTACCTAAATAGCACAAATAACTTCTGCTTTGCTTTATTCTGGCTGGCTGGAGCATGTAGGAGGAGGGTTAATAACCTCACTTCATGCTGTTTGTCAGTGTCTGGTGGATAGCTTGGATTCATTTAGGGTAAATGAGGTAGAGAAGTAAACTCTTACCCTCAAAGTGTGTGTATTTGGAGAGTGGGGCATATGATGTGTGAATCTCAGGAGGGGGATAGAAGAGATCCTGGCTCTGTGGTGATGTTGGGTGCAGGCATCTGGGGAAGAACAGGCTGAGGTGTCACCTAGAACTGAAGTCATGCAGGCTTTAGTACAGCTGGAAGTTGCCCTCTTGATGCCCTTTAGCGTGCTAAGTCAGGCCCAAAGTTCCCCCTTTGGAGTCCTTGTGTGACTGGAATCAATAAATATCAAGGCAGGATTCCCAGCAATGGCTTCTGTGCCGTGCTGGCACTGGGCTCACTCATGCCAGGGCTGGCAGCAAAAGCTCCCACAGGGATCTCTCAGGAAGGCAGCCAGCTTGCTAGAGACTTCATGTTTGCTTGTGTGCTGTACATGAAAGCTTGCTTTTCCCAAGGAACAAAAAAAGCCTGGGAAGTATTGTTTCCCTTTTGAGGGAGGTGCTTTGCTGCGCGGCATCGAGCTGCCAACTTGACGTGGAGCCATGTGCTGTTCCTTAACAAGCTTCACACAGCGTGTTGGAAGTTGCCATCCCAAATGAGCTGGGCTGGAAGGGCTGGCTTTGTGCAGCTGCTTGTATGAGGCTATGAAAGCAAGGCCTAGTTGAATGGGGCTTAGAGCAACCTGGTCTAGTGGGAGGTCTCCCTGCCCATGGCAGGAGTTTGGAACTGAATGAGCCTTAAGGCTCTTTACAACACAAATTTTTCTATGATAGAACTCATTCTGTGAGGGACCTGGGGGGTTCAGTCTGGAGAAGAAAGGCTCGGGGGAGACCTTATCGCTCTCTACAATTGCCTGGCAGGAGGATGGAGCCAGGAGGGGCTGGGCTCTGCTCCCAAGGAACAAGGGATGGGACAAGAGGAAACGGCCTCAAGCTGCACCAGGGCAGGTTTAGATGGAGCTGAGGAACAATTCCTTCCCCAGAGGGTGCTCAGGCATTGGAACAGGCTGCCCAGGGCAGGGCTGCAGTCACCGTCCCTGCAAGTGTTCACACAGCGTGGAGACGAGGCCCTCGGTGCCATGGGTTAGTGGTGGCCTTGGCAGTGATGGGAAATGGTGGGACTGGATGTGCTTAAAGGGCTTTTCCAAACATGGTTGATTCCATGATTCTGTGACTAGCAGCATTCAGGGAATGGCTTGGTCTGATTTGTCACACTGGTGCCCAGGAAGACAGTGAACACTTTTCCTGTTGGCCTTATCTCAGATTCTTCTCTCTGAGCTTTCTCTCCACCTCCCTTGGTCCTTCTTTCAGGCTTTTCTCCTCTGCCCTGAGCAGAATCAGCCAGCAGTCATCTTGCCTGTCTAGAGGGTGATGCTTTATGAGGAACACCACATAACTTTGCTGCTTGGCCTGTGCCATGTCCTGTGCACCCTGTGTGAGGAGGTGAAAAGAGAGGGCTGGTTGCATGGCTCAGCAGTACTGTGAGCTGGCATCCATGGCTCTGGATTAGGGAGCTGCCCACCACAGCAGCTTGTTTTGATAAGGTATGGCCTTGGCTCCCCTTTGTTGTGTCTGCAGGGGAGTCCAGGGAGCTTTCCAGCCATTGTTTTCCCAGCTTTTCTAACACAGCTTTGTGTTCCAGCAGTGTATACACACTGCTTACATCAGCTGCCTCTGTGCCCTGCATCCACTGCCCAGCGGGGCAGCTCACCCCATGTTTTGCTTTTCAGGTCAGCTGAGGAGCCGTTTGTGGAGGAGCCTGGCAATGGGTGTAAAAACTCTTGTTGGGTAACTGAAACAGAGTTGTTCTAACACTTGACATTGAACAAGGCTTGTTTTGCTTTTGTGTTCAGTGTAAGCTTTAGCTTGTTCATCTGAACTCATGCTGATTGCTTTGACTTGGAGTTTGTGAACGTTTGGGGAACCCAGCCTGTTGTGTTGTCCGGGTTTTCATCTCTGGGGCTGCTGACTGAGTCCAGAGGAGGCCATGGAGATGCTGCAAGGGCTGGAGCAGCTCTGCTCTGGAGCCAGGCTGAGAGAGCTGGGCTGGGGCAGCCTGGAGAAGAGAAGGCTCTGGGGAATTGGAATAATGGGAGCCTGAAGCTGCAGCAGCTTTTTGAGAGGGGGGTGTTTTGGGATGTTCAGGTCTATTTAATTTAGCTCCTGGACTTGAGACAGGTTCCACAGAAGGAGCTGCTGAGCAGTTCTAGGAGCCTCCTTGCTGCAGAGAAAGCTTTCAGGTTAGTCACCTAAACAGTTCTCTGGAAACCCAAGTGACACACCAAAATACAAGGAAAGATAAATGGGGGAAAATCCTTGCTGAGACAATGCATTCCTAACTGGGAATAAACCCAAGTATACATCCTTAGCAAGTCATCCTTCAGCATTGTCTGAGTTAGATGTGGTGGGAGGTGGACTCAGTATCATGCTGTAAACCAGGTTTGTCAGAGCTTACAAAGTGTTCGGTAAGTGTCAGGTATTACCTGGATTTTCTAGTGCTTTGTATGAAGTCTCCAGGAAACTGTGAAGGGAGTTCTGGAGTTGACAGCAGCAGTTTGTGTCATTAACCTACTGAATACCTTTGCTGTAGAGAGCAGAGTTCTGCTGTTAACTTGGCCAAAATGGGCATGTTGGTCTTAAATATTCCTGTCCTGATCCTGAAATGAGTGAGCACTCGTGTAGAATCAGTTGACAAGGAGGAAGGCCCTTTGCTTTCTAGGGGAAGTGCTGCTCCTGTCAATGGAGTGGAGGATTTCACACCTTGGAAGCATGGGAAATGAGAGCTCAAGTTTGTTAGGCTCCACCAGTCAACCCAAGGTTATAAATAAGCCTTTCCTTGGATTTCTCGAGACCAGACTAGTCTTGTCTGCACTTACAAAGCTGACAAATAACTTTGTGGGAAGCTGTGAAGGTTGTGCCCATTGCAGATCTTTTGGGATGTTTTCAGAGTATCCATCCAGATTCTGCCTGTCTTCTCCCACTGGTTGTGATAATGTGTAAAGGCAAAAATAGGTTGATCTTGCATTTGTGGGGAGGTAGAGAAAGAGCACACATCATTAGGGTAACTTGATGGCAGTTTGTTTCCAATGGATGCTGTCAGTAAACTCATTTGTATAAGTTACTCTCCATAGTGATCATCTTAAACTAGAGGAACTATTTTAGTAGAGGGAGCAGCTTTGGTGTGATAACTCTTAACTCCATCCGTTGGACCCTGTAGGTGATGCCTGAAATTGCTGGAATTGGCCTGAAATATTTCCTAGGTGTTGCAAATGTAACAAGGGATGTACAAACAGATTAATATTAGGGTTGAGTTTGAGTTAGGAGCTGAGTTTGTGGGTGAGCTGAATAAGGTAAGAAATAAGCAAGTAAAAGGATGTGTTGACCTCCTCATTGCACATGGTTTTGTATCAGTCCTTGATAAGGAGACCTTCATCAGTCTCACTCCAGAGAAATCAGGCTTTCAGGATGACTTGTGGCTGGAGAGAAGTGTATTTAAACATGCAGGGGGGTGAAGAAGGAGGAGAATGAAATAGGGATGAGGTCAGGAATGTGTACCTAGTGATAGTAAGTGTGAGCAGAAAGAAACACTTGATATTCAGGGGTTTGAATTCTCCCTTAAAGATCATTAATAGGTGGCCAAGAAAGGAAACACCTATGTTAGATTCTGAAATTTAGGGAAATTCCAAAGAAGGTTTTGGGTCACATGCCTGTGTGAGCATGAGCTCAGTATAGCAGGAAAGCTATAGCAGGAGCACGGCTAGCTTCTTATCATTGATGGGACACCCCACCTTGAATGAAATCCAGTGGGGAGAAATGCTCACTTTGCTCCTGTGGCCAAGCATGTTTTTCTAACCTTGCTGGTGGAGAGTCCCTGAAAATCTCTTTCCTGATGCTCTTGTTCTGTTTTCTGTCCATGGATCTTAGCATGAGGAATGCCAAAGATGGGCTCTACAGCAAGTACCCATTGAGTCTGGGGGCTGCAAGCCCAAGCACCAAGAGAGCTCCCCTCTCTTACCAGATGTGTTGGGGAAAACATGTATGAACAAAAGTGGCTTTTCCCATTTCTGCCATGTTTCCAACTTGCTTTTCTTTTCCTTTAGGGTCATCCAGCAGCCGTCACCCGAACCAAGTGACGCCGAAGAAGAGCGGCCTGAAAAACGGGCAGATGAAGAGCAAAGATGACGAGTGCTTTGGGGATGACATTGATGAGATCCCAGACACTGATTTTGATTTTGAAGGCAACCTGGCCCTTTTTGACAAGGCAGCTGTGTTTGAAGAGATTGAAACGTATGAGAGGAGGAGCGGCACCCGGTCCCGGGGGACCCCCAACGAGAAACCAGCTCGCTACCGGCACGATGAGAACATCTTGGAGTCAGAGCCCATAGTCTACAGAAGGATTGTTGTACCCCAGAATGCTAACAAAGAGTTCTGCACGGGTATGCCATGTCCCTTCCTGATCAGCATGGAAACTCTCCTGCTTTGCTGGGCTGGATTGTTTTCCCCAAGGGTTGTCTGTCAGCTTAATGTGATACAAGCAAGGGCGTCCCTTTACGTAAGGTTGGATCTGTGCCTTCTGTCTGCATACAACCTTTATTTGCAATATTGCCTAGGTAAAAAAATACTCAGATAGGGCACAAGGTAAGCAGTTTTCCAGGGAGGAATAAAGCTGATGGTTGGATAACAAGACGGAGGGTTTTGAATCCTTGCTTGGATTCCTAGTATGATGAACCTGAGTGGATGTGATCGCTGGCTCGTGAGAGGTTGGGATGGGCTCAGGGTTATGGTACATGATAGCACATGGTGATTTGTGCTTTCTTGCTAAAAGGCAGGAGGTTTCGTGTGCTTCTGATGCTCCTTGGGTGGTAGTTATGTATTTCCACATGGCTTTGTGGAAGTTTAAAATGTTGTTGGTGTAAAAAGCAATGGTTCTGGCTCTTCTCATCCCTAACTCCAAACATTCATTGTACAAAAGGTGTTTTAGGCGGGGTCTCCCCCCACTTACTGTCCACTGCTGCTGTGTGAAAGAGATTTTACTGTAAGCATTCTGTTTATATGAGTTCACATGCTGCACAGCACTTGTGCTTTATGCTACATTCAGGTACAAACTCCCTGTAACTTCAGTCTAGTTGTGCTCTTCTGCCTGCTTTTTAGCACTTGCAAAATGCAGGAGTGAAGGAACTTGGGCATTCCAGGGGCATTTCTTTTCTGTACAAGTCGGCTTTTGTAGAGAGACATAAGCAGTGCATATCCTGGTGGCCTGGCCACTGAGCTGAGGTGTGATCAGGTCCTTGATCTCTCATTCTTGCTCTGCCCAGAAGCTCCAGCTGGGGTGTGAAGCACTTCAGGGAAGGAAGCTGGTTCATTTGTAAGGATTTGTTGCTTTTCAGTGTGAAAAAACAAGTCTTTTAATGGCTCCCCTCTACAGTGATATCATAGTTTTCCCTTTGTCATCCATCTTCCTATTGATCTCCCAAATGAGATGATAACATACTGGGTCATAGCTGAACTTGTCCAGCTCAGTATTATGTTTCCAAGGATACTTAAGGAAGAGTGAAATAACAGAGCAACCACACAATGATACATCCCTGAGTGCTTTGTCTTTCACAGTTTGAAGCCTTCCTGAAGCAGAAGAGGTAGTTCAGTATTAATAGCTTTTGATGAGGCTTTTTTTTTTGTCTTCTGCTTGTTTTAACCTATTGCTTTATAAATCTCTGCAAGCTTTCAGTCTCTTGACAGTATCCTGTGGCAAGCAGCTCACCAGTTGCCTGTGTGTTGTATGAATAAGCTCCTCTTTGTTTTTGTGGATAAATACTCATTTAGCATTATTCTTTTTCATTTACTCCTTGTAAAGTCATCTTCCAGCTGGTTCATCTGGTAGGAGACAAGGCTTCTGTGTGCAGCTAGTCTGAAACTAAAGCTAACCTACTGTTAGCTGCCAGTTTGAGAAGTAAGGCTGATGCTGTATGCTAGCAGTACAGCTCCTGGCCATGCAGCAAGCATCAGTGAGTAAATTCAGAGCATGAAAATGAAAGCATGTTGCTAAACTCCATCTTTATGTTGGAAGCTCTCAGCTCCCTGTTTGCAGTGTGCTGGAGGGAGCAGCTCAGTGAAAGAGTTGCTGTTGGCTTGTTTTGGTCTTGGCAAGCCTGCCCTGGAGGGTGGTACATGATTCCCCTCCATAGCTGCAGGGTCTTGCAAGCCTCATTAGCTACTGTTGGGTGATTAGTGTCCCCTATGGAATTCTGGATTCCTTTGGAAGAAAAGCTGTCCTGTCACCCAATGGGCAGGGTATTGACAGCTCCAGCTCCCTGCCGCCTGTGCTGAGCAGGGCACGTTCACAGGCCTGGGAATGATGGTTACAGTGTCCCAGTGCTGTGTCCCTGCCAGTGGTTTTCTCCCAGAGGGTGATTTCCTTTGTGTCCACTGAGGAAGTTTACTTCTGCTTAGGAAATGCTAAGGGCAAGCTAGGAAAAGCTCATGTCAGCACTTGTAACCTGCCTGCTGCTGGCAGAAAGACATCCAGTGTGCTTGGAGGAATGATGGACTGTCCCTTGGAAAAATCAGTCCTGGTTTCTTTGTTTAGCAGCTGGAAGGAGGATGCTGAGCTACAGGCAGCTTGCCTCTGAGTGGCTCAAAGAACAGCAGCTGCTCAAATGAAAGCCCCAAAAGCCATCGTTCTGGATGTATCTATGGCAGGAATTCTCTCTCTGCTTCTGAATTCTCCCTGGAGAGTTTTCTGTGGACTCCTAAGGGGAGCTTTACTTGCAAAAAGCACTTTCTAGTTATAGGAGAAATAAGTACTTGGTAAATTCTTTACCCTAGGGCAGTCCTAAAGATGATTGTCTTGAGAGCTCTGGCTGATACAGTGATTATTTTGTCTGCTGTGATAGCACAAAGTGATGCTGGGGATTGACAGCAAGTTGATATCCAGCTCTTGTCACTGTGGCAGAGGAAGGAGTCTGACTCCTTGCATGCTCTTTTATGCCATGGAGCTAGGGAATAACCAGGATTATGCAGCAATAAATCCAGCAGTTTGCTGGTGCCAGTTCTTCAGAAGATTATCTGCAGGGCTTCCAGTCTGTGCTGCTACTGCTGCCTGAGAGGAGTCAAGTCGTGTTGGCTCTAGCAAAGCTTCGTAAACACTTCATTCCATTGGGATGCTTTTCTGGGAGTTGATTTTTCTGGAGCCAGGCTGTCAAATAGGCATTGGTGGCAAGCAGGGAGTGAGGAGGGGGATCTGTTCTAAACAAAAGTGAAAACCTGAAGCTAATAGAGCTTACCAGCTCTTTGATCATGGCTGAGTCCATCCCTATGGCTTTGCACATGAATTTCCCTCATATATATATAGTTTATCTTTAAATGTGTGTCTAGCTGTGTTCTTTCTGCTGGTCAGCAGCAGTGGAATGACCTGTGATTGAGCAGCACCATGGTTTGGGATCGGGTCTTTTGGTAAGAACTGCAAAGCCGAAGTCCTGCAGGTGTATTGGAGCTCAGGGTTTGCAGTCGGATGGAGTATCTCAGTTCATCATTGATGACTCTGGAGAATATCATCTCGAGCATACCAGGCTGTCCGCATGGTTCCTTTTGGCAGTTGAGCTCTTCTTTCCTCTTACCTGTGTTTAGTTGCTGCTAGCACGTTCCACACACATACCATGGGTTCCAGTTCATGACAGCAGCTCTGCTCTGGAGCCAGGCTGAGAGAGCTGGGCTGGGTCAGCCTGGAGAAGAGAAGGCTCCTGAAGGGGAGACCTTAGAGCAGCTCCAGTGCCTAAAGGGGCTGCAGGAAACCTGGAGAGGGGCTTGGGACAAGGGCCTATAGGACAGGCCAAGGGGAATGGCTTTAACCTGCCAGAGGGGAGACTGAGATGAGCTCTTAGGCAGAAGCTCTTCCCTGTGAGGGTGCTGAGGCACTGACACAGGGTGCCCAGAGAAGCTGTGGCTGCCCCATCCCTGGCAGTGTTCAAGGCCAGGTTGGACACAGGGGCTTGGAGCAAGCTGCTCTAGTGGAAGGTGTCCCTGCCCATGGCAGGGTTAGGACTGGATGAGCTTTAAGGTCCCTTCCAACCCAAACTGTTCTGTGATTACACTGGCTTAAAAATCTGCCTTGCCTGAACTATGGGCGTCAGATGCGTGCTTAGGAGTGGATCAATGTGGCAGCCAGAGCTTATGTGCCAGGGTCATGCTGCAAAACTAAAGCTGAGCCTGTTCTGTGAGGGTGATGCTGTCAGTATGGCTTGGGTTTGTGTGTGCCATGTCCTTGACTGTCTTTTCTACTCTGTGTAGCTTTTATCTCTTCAGTCCATGGATGACTGCCTCACAGCGATTGTGTGTATTGAATGTGTGAAGTGTTTCTGGGACCTTTGAGTAGAGTGCAAATGAAGTTCACTTGATCCAACCGCAAGAGAAAACAAAGTGGTCATGGAGCAGAGTCTCTTTGTCCCTCAGACAGCTTTTAGCTCAGCTGGAGTGAATTGTGCACTGGTTCAGGGAGAGGCTGACACTAGAAGGTCAGCCAGAGCTCCCGCAGGATTTGTCTTCATTAAAAATAATGATGATTAAACTGCATTAAAACCCCTAGCCCTTCAGTGGCGAAAATCACTCACGTCTGTGGGGCAAGGAGCTGTGGTTTGCTGAGGCTGCAGGCAGGTGGCTCCAGCTTTACCACCAGCAAAAGACAGCAAGTAATGTGCCCAAACTGGACTAGAGTTAAACCCAAGTCACGTAGCTGCAGCTTGTGAGCTGTGTGGCTTGGGAACCTGGAGTTGCTTATTGCTAAAGGAAAGAGTTTGTAGTGTTACACATGGCTTTTGGGAGATCCCAAGCCTGGTTCCATGTCATTCATACCTGCAGCTCGCCTGGTTTTATCTCTGGGCTGAAATAGTCCAGAGAAAACCTGGGGCTTATAAACCTGGGGCTTATGCTTGAGCTACTCTAGCAGCACCCCTTGCTTTTCACCCTGCAGCTTCAAGTACTGGAGGCATCTGGACTTGCTTTGGGCTTGTTTGGGGGGGAAAACCCCCTGAATTGCTTAACCTGTGGCAAGTTAGCTCAATCCTTCTGCTGGTACAGGGTGTTTTCATCCAAGCAGTGTGTGTGTGTGTGTGTGTGTGTGTAACATCACATAGAGAAGCTTGAGGAGACAACTCCTTCCCGGTGCCCAGGGCAGTGTGCCTCAAGCAGAGGCTCCTTGGTGTTTTCTCAGCCTTCAGCAGTGCTCTGCATGTCACAAAGCTCTTTAGTCTCTAGCTGCCCTTTTTCTTTTCCAGGCAGCTGTAAAATACATTTATTTAATATCCAAAGGCCTGAGCTAATTTCTTTGATTACCTTCATTACTGAACAATAAAGCTGCAGTGTCCAACCCAAACAGAATTAAGGTTGGCAGGCGTTCAGGTTTGCTGCAGCACTGTTATTGTTTGTGGCTTTACACGTCGCCTCCTTGCTTGCTTTCTGCCAGAGTTTATTTAACTCCCTCGGCCTGGTTTTGATAAGCCAGTTGGACTGGTTGGACCTTGCGTGAGTGCGAAGAAGGGAAGTTCTCTTGGCATCTAAGCCTGCTCCTGAGAGGGAGCAATTAGGACAAAGTAGCACTGGCATGCTAAATGCAAGTTCATCTCCTGGCTTCCAGTTAACCCCCTTTGTATTAACCCACTGGGCACTGAGCTGCATCTAGCTGGTGGTAAATGTGCGTTTCCTAAAGCTCATGGTCTGGAGAAGGTGTCTGAGATAAGGGTGAAGGTGGTCACAGAGAAGGTGTTGGCAGTGTTTGTACTAAACTGGGTAGAGGCAGAGTATAGATCAGCTGTTTCTCATCTGGTCCTGTGGTTCAGAAGGAGCAGAAGCACAGTTTGGGAGCCTCCCTGCTTCAGGTGAGCAGAGGATGCTTCCCCCCAAACTAGGTGGAGAGATCCTGACCTCAGGTCACTCATTCCAAGTCCTTCTTTGAGCTTGACAAACAAGACCCGATGGAGTAGCCAAAAGGTGGATGGGCAGAGGCAGAGCGGAGCCTTGCGTGACTGCGGAGCTGAGGAGGGGTGTGAGCACAGGGCAGGTACGTGACTCCTGGGCTGGCTTTAGGATTATTAGTGGCTGATGACTCTGAATGTTCAACGGCTGCTATCAAGAGGCTGAGATGACTTTGAGAATGTGCCCGCTTGCATGTGTGCTGCGGGTAACGAAAGACAATCGGAGGTAGCTTAATGGGAGGTTAGCATGCAAGGTCAAGTGTTTGAACATGTTTGGGCCCTCTGTATCTGCAAAGCACCAGCTGCTGAGTTCACAAGTGAAGGCCAGAAGGGTCCAGCAGGATCTGCTCCCCAGCATTTTACTGTTTCCTTGCGGGAGCGCTCCCAGTTGGCCCTGCACACCTCAAGATGTACCAAACCTGCTGTTTCCGCTGCAGCTCCACTTAGTGGTTTGTGACTGGGGCGCCCTGGGGAAATAGAGCAGTACAAATCATTCCTCACGATTCACATATGTGCTGCTGGTCTCATTTGAATGTGGTGCATGCTTGTCACAACTGGTTCTCATTACGGGTTTTTGCCTGCACAAGGGCCCACGAGCAACTGCTGAGTTTCCTCTGTGAGCGGATGTGTACTCTGCAGCTGCTCCTCTTTGAGCTCGTCTTGCTGCGGAGCCACATCTTCTTCCCACGGCCCTTTCCCATGGGTGCTGGAGGTCTGGGCCCTGTCATGATGAGCACCCAGGAGGCTGCCGTCACCCTGAGCTCAGGGGTGGGAGTGTGAGGGTGAAGAGGGCCTGGGCTGGAACAGGCGTCAGGCTGAGTCCTGGACCTTTGTGACCCATCGTGCCCAGCTCCATGCCCAGAGTAGGAGCTAAGAGGAAAGTTACAGAGCACTTGCTCTGCTTGTTTAGCTGGGAGCAGTGCTTAGGAATGATGGGAACAGAAGGAGCTGAGAGCTCTTCTGGCTGGCAGCTGTGCCCCAGCTATGTGGCTGTCCCATGTGGGGAGGGAATTAAGCTGTGCAGGTCCCTAGCTGGGAAACAGTTAAGGACATCCAGGAGGAAGTTTCAAGGGAATAATAGCTCCACGGAGACCTTAGAGCAGCTCCAGTGCCTAAAGGGGCTATAGGAAACCTGGAGAGGGGCTTTGCAAAAGGGGACAGGCCAAGGGGGATGGCTTTGACCTGCCAGAGGGGAGACTGAGATGAGCTCTGAGGCAGAAGCTCTTCCCTGTGAGGGTGCTGAGGTGCTGGGTTCACATGTGTGAAGTCAGGCTCTGCTTGGAGAAGGGAAGCACAAGGAGTCTTCCAGAACAGTTACTGAGGTCTGTGTGTCTCTTACCTGCTGAGGTAGACGACGCTATGATGGTGGGTTAGGAGCTGGAGGTTTAAGGCTGGTCACTCCTGATGGCAGGAAATGTAACACATCTGAGCTGTTTTTGCTGGAAACCCGGTTCACAGCTTCTCTTCTGACTTTGACAGGGATTAGGAATGCCGATTTGTGTTTGAGCATGGGTGTGGGTTAAAGCACAGGTGGCCTGGAGACCAGTAAGAAAACCTTTTACCTTCAATCTGGAGGTCTAAAAGGCCTTCCCAGCCCATGTGTTGCTAAAACTGCCTGCTGAATCTTTGTGGAAGTGTAGTACTTCAAGGCCAGCAGCTGTGTTGACCTGTCTCCACTCAGAGTAAGCTGGGTCTGCTGCACTAGTTTGGATTCATGGAATGGTCTTCAAGCCCCCTGGGTTCCTGGGTTAAGGAGATGCTTGGTAGCAGCTAATAGCCCTTTCCAAGTGCTGTTATAAAACCTTCCCAGTGAGCAGCGTTCTGGAGAGGTCTCTGATTATGCCTCTTCCTTTCTCCCTCCTCTCTCTCTGATCCCAGACTCCGGGTTGGTGGTTCCAAGCGTGTCCTACGAGCTCCACAAGAAGCTGCTCTCGGTGGCTGAGAAGCACGGGCTGACCCTGGAGCGGAGGCTGGAGATGACGGGGGTGTGCGCCAGCCAGATGGCCCTCAGCCTCCTCGGGGGACCCAACAGGTAAAAGCTGCTCCCTTTTGCTCTGCCCCCTCTAAGCAGAGCTCAGTTTATCTTGTTCTGCTCAATGGAGCTGAACCTTTGAGGTCAGTGGCGTGTGGGTGCCTGTGCTGCTCGTTGGATGCTCATCAGTGGTCCTGCAGCTGGAGGAAGCTGTCACCTCTGGAAGGAAAACCTCATCCCGCTGCCCTGCAGACTGTGTTGTGGCTCGTGTGTCAGCCTCTTCCCAAATAATCATGCAAACAAGCGTGGTGCTCAGGCTCCTGAAGTGGGAGGAAGATTACAGCAGGTTTCCATGGCACGCTGCTGCTTTTCCCCTCTGTAGAAAGGGCTTGTTTGAACAGACATCCACCCACCTTGGATGAATGACTTAATAAAGGCTTCTTTTTGGCTCCTGGGTCCCAGAAGGAGAGATGTCTCTTGAGTCAAAGAGCTGAGATTGTTTTCTCTCCACTTACTGGCCTTAAATCTCCATCTGTTTACTTGGCAGTACTTTACCAGGACCTGACCGTTTGATTCTGAGCAGTAAGTGATAGCATACCAGGCAGCACTGACCTTGTCAGCTGAAACTCCTCCTGTCAGCCACCCTCGATGGCTTGAGGCCATTTCAATAAATCAGCTGTACTTTGCAGTTGCTGAGGCTTAGGGGTAGAGCAGAGCAGCTCCAGGAGCAGCTCTGTGAAAGGATGTGGCTTCTTCCTTCAGAATCAGCGGAAGATGTGCAGAGCACCTCTCGGTTTGCTTCTCCTCTCCTGCAGGAAGAAGGGGAGTGCTGCTTGGGGTTGCTAACAGCCTCTTTTGTCTGTCGTAGGCTGAACCCGAAGAACGTGCACCAGCGGCCCACGGTAGCTCTGCTGTGCGGGCCCCACGTGAAGGGGGCACAAGGCATCAGCTGCGGCCGGCACCTCTCCAACCACGACGTCCACGTCATCCTTTTCCTCCCCAACTTCGTCAAGATGCTGGAATCCATCACCAACGAGTTGAACCTCTTCAGCAAGACACAAGGCCAGCAAGTGTCCAGCGTCAAAGGTAGGTGGCTGAGGAGCAGATCCGCTCCTGCCTCCCTGACACTTGCGCTGCTCAGTCCCCTGGCACCATCTAGTGGCACTGCCATGAGCTGGTGGCTGCTGGGAGGCTGGCAGGACAGCAGGGAGGTTCAACAGTGGAGCTGTTGTGCTGCTACAGATGTTTCCTGTATGAACAAGCTGCTGTGGGGATCAGAGCAGAGCAGCCCTTCTCTTATGATAAGGGCCTTCCTTGTTCAGCCTATCGAAACTGCAAGTCAATGAGCATCCAACTGCAGCTTCAAACCAAGCAGCAGCTTTGCTGAGCAAGTCCCAACAGCTGGCAATTCACATCTCTCAGTGTGCCAGAAAACAAGCTGCTGCTTCACCTTCTGTGAGACAACTGGCTTCTGTTTGATATTTCACCAGTGTTATTTCAAACCCGGTTCATTTAATCTTCTGGGGAGAAGCAAACTTGGGCATTAGGGCAGTGTTGGACTGTGCTGTGCTGGCTGAGCTACTTCCCTGGTAGCTTATAAAAGGACTTGGTCTCTCTAATGGAGACAGCAGTCCCTGCTTCCCTGGGCTGCCTGGCCCGAGCCCAGGTTCAGGGTTTCAGGTCAGTCCTCAGCACTCACCAGTCTTTGTGTTTCAGATCTCCCCGACAGCCCCGTTGACCTGGTGATCAACTGCCTGGATTGTCACGAAAATGCCTTTCTGAGAGATCAGCCTTGGTACAAGGCAGTGGTGGACTGGGCCAACCAGAACCGGGCCCCTGTCCTCAGCATAGACCCCCCCATCAGCGAAATGGAGCAGGGCATCGACGCCAAGTGGTCGCTGGCCCTGGGGCTGCCGCTGCCGCTGGGCGAGAGGGCCGGGCGCGTGTACCTCTGTGACATTGGCATTCCCCAGAAGGTCTTTCAGGAGGTGGGCATCAACTACCACTCCCCCTTCGGCTGCAAGTTTGTCATCCCCCTGCATTCCACTTAGAGGCAGCCGCGGGGCTCCGAAGGGAGAGAAGAGGAGGAGGTGTGTCAAGAAGCTGTGCAGCGGATCCTGACTGGTAAAACTCGTGTGACGCCTTAAGGATGAGAAGTTCTGGAGAGGTTCTTTTTTTTTTTCGGTCCTTCCAGAAGAAATATTGTGTATTTAACAAAAAAACAAACAAAAAACAAACCCAACCAAACAAAGAGAGCCATTGTACAATGCAACAAAACCGAAGGAGGCGAATGTTCCTGCGGAGCTGGTCTCAATTCTCTTGTGCCATTGTATGAAGGAGCCTGCAGGAGGATGGTGTCTGTCCCTGGCCAAGTGACCACTGCTGACCAGGCCTGGCTGGAGGGTGTTTGTTGAGGGGTTGCACATGGAGGTGCTACAAGTGATGGGTGGGTTGTTGGCTGGAGCTGTGGTTCTGTCCTTGTGGGCAGGTAGAGCCAGCAGGAGCATCCTGGTGGGAACAGCACCCCTGGTGGTGTAGGAAATACCTCCTGTTGCAGTCAGACAGGAGGGAGGGTTTGGTTTCATTCCGTTGTTCTTTTGGATCCTCCCTTACCCTGTTTTATGTTCCTGAAGGTGGTTGTAGGTCCCGCTCCCTCCTGGACCCTCTGGCCCTTCAAGGAGAACATTCCCTCTGTGGAAAGCTTGTGTCAAGAGCCAGAAGCTGTGGGGTCACACCTGCTCTGGGAACACCCAGGCCTCAGCTGGGCTTTAGTTGCTTCTGTATTCGGTTGGCTTTTTGTCTGTTCACTCTGGTTAAGCCCAGGCCGTGGGAGCGAGGTGGGCTGTGGAAAAGAACTTTTCCAGGATAGTTAGGGGGGGTGTGGGGTGTGTGTGTGTTCATTTTCCTTTTCCTTCCTGGCACAGGGAGTGAATCAGGGAAAGGGTAGTGAAGCAGGGCAGTGTCACTCGGGCTGTGGTGCATTGCTCTGTGGTGTAGGTGATAGTTGGGCCAGTTCCCCGTGATTCCAGCATCCCTCTTACACTCAGTGTGGTTTGGGAAGTGGGTCATGGATCAGTTCATTCCCTTTGGGCTCAGCCTGGGTATGGATGTGCCTGTGCCCTCTCCTCGCACAGAGGTGCTCAGCTCCCTCCTCACTGCAGTGCTTGAAGCTCTGCTGCTTACCTGTCCCCAGAGCTCCTGCAGGTGCCTGAGCCTTGCCCAGAGCCTGTTCTGGGATCTGGGAGAGCTCCAGGTGGTGCCAGCTCCCCTAGGGAACTGCTCTGGCGCTGTGCTCTGCTGAGCAGTGGAGTCTCTCTTAGCAAAGCTGTTGACCTGCTTCTGTAAATCCTCCCCCTTGGAACACACCAGGCACTTGTCTTTGCCTTTCATCTGCCTAGAACACAGGCCAAGCGCATCAAAGGAGGGAAGAGCCTTCAAGCACTTGAGTGATTAACACTGCCTCCAAGTGTGGCATGATGGGGAAGAGCCAGCTGGAAGCAGAGGAGCGCTGGGCTCACCCCACAGCTCCTGAGGCCTCTTACCCTGCCAAGCCCCATCTACCCCAGCAGGACGAAGGGCTCTGCCCCTCTCGCTGTCAGACCCCTGGTCCCCCTGGCTGGCTGACCCCTCGGTGCTCTGCCCTCCACCATGGAAAGGGCAAAGCAGCAGGCAGAACCGGAGCAGCATGCCACAGGCTTGTGGCTCTCACTTGGGTAGCAGAGCAGTTGGGTATTTAAGTACAAATGCGAGGCTTCCCTCTGCCTCTTGTGGTGCTTTGGCTGTTTGCTTCGTGGAAGCTGGAGGCAGAGGAGCAAAGCCAGTGGAGGAGCACCCCTTGCTCGTTGCTGTAGTACAGCATTAGCTTTAGTCCCCTTCTTTTCACTTGCCTTGCTCACAACCCTCAATAAGAGGTTGCAGTTTCAGTTCCTGCTTTCCTTGCCCCTTCTGGGCTGTTGAATTGTAGCTTGTCCACACTGAGCACTGACAGGGCAGGAAGGCTCAAGGCTTCGGGCTGTGTTGGGCACAGTCCCACTTCACAGTGCCTGGTGCTGACAGATTTGGGCATTTGCCTGTACTTCCCTTTGGATACTTGAGGAAGCACCGGCCTCACCTCCATGAAACACATCTTCTGTGCAGCTGTGAGCTCTTCCAGAGCACTCAGAGACCCAGCCAGGGTGCTGGGTCCCTTCTCCCCCCTTCCCTATGTTATCTGTTCAGAGACCAGCTCACGTTCTAGCTGTGTTTGCAATAGTTTCTATCCCCCCACCTTCAGCACTACCCTAGGAACTGCCACAAGCGCTGCTGTGGTCACTGTGAAGATCACTGCACTGTCACTGCTTGATGCTCCATTTGTGACCTGATGTCTGTAATGACCAATTCCTGCCACTACTGGGGCCTGCCCTGAAATAAAGTGCAACGATTCCTGTGTGCTGGGCGTGTGGAGCTGAGTTATTTGGCTGCTGTGGCTCTAAAGCCTTTCTGCTGCTGCAGGGCAGGAGCCACTCACCCTCCCTGCTGCTTGGCTTCCAGTTCAGTTTCCACCACCTCCGTGGTGCTTGGGAGCAAGCTCCCCTCCACCTGCCCACAAGGGAAGTAGCAAACAATAAGAAACACTTTATTTTAACTTTACAACATATAAATAGACAAATCTGTGCTTTCCAACGGAGCTTTTCCCCCCTTCCCGGCCCCAGGGTCCTTGGTGCAGTGTTCCAGCCCCTCTGAGGCTGAGCAGGGCTGGGGCTCCGATCCTGGAGGTACAAATCCAGCAGGAATCACCCCGGCCCCGGCCGTCATCTGCTCAGGTCCCGGCTGGCGCCGCGGCCGCACAGCATCCGTTCCTCTGCGGAGAGGCCGGTGAAGAAGGGATGCAGGAGGGCTTCCGAGAACGTGATCCTCTGGGAAGGCTCGAATTCCAGCATCCTCCGCATGAGGTCGAAGAGCTGCGCGTGCTCCAGTGAGTCGTGCAACATGTAGGTCTGCACGAGAAGGGGGGACAGGGAGGAGGGTGCAGCACGCTGGTAGGGCAGGGACCGAGCCCTAGGCCCTGGGTTAGTGATGCATGGCACCCAACGCAGCATCCCTCAGCTGCACCCACTCCAATCAACTTCTACTGCAGAGGAGAGCTCTGGGGCACTGCAAAAGCCAGTTCCTAAGGGAAAGTCCCATCCTGAAGCCCCCCCACCACTGATAAGGGGAAGGAGCAGTGCAGCCAGGCCTCCAGCAGCACCTACCCGCAGGGGCTTGCAGTTCTCTTGGACGTATCTCCCGTCGGACGTGTTCTCATCCCAAACCAGGTTTCCATTGTGGAAATACTTTTGCTTCCTGCCAAGGGAAGGTGGTGTTAGTAAAGCTGCTCCTGGGATGCGCAGCCACTGCGTCTCCTGTGGTTATACACCCAGTGCAAGGACAGAGAGGTTGCAGCCTCAGTAATCAGCCACAGACAGGTGCCTGGGCTGGCTGAGGGCAGGAGCAGGCGCTCACCGAGTTCTGTGGATCATGTGGGATGGAATTGGCCCGAGGATCTTTTCCATCATGACGAGATGCTCCCGGTTCTCATGGGTCTGCAAAGGCAAACGGCAACGGGGCGTTAGTTCAGAGCTCGGGAGAGCTGAGCACAAAAGGTCTGTCACCCACACAAGAGCAGGGCAAGGGACAAGCCTCTGGAACGATGCAGGTTCTGCCCCCTTCTGCCTCTTGGTTCTTCTGTTCTTCACTGGCACAGTGAAGAAACCAGAGGGGATCTGAGCCTTGCACAATCCCTCAAACCCTGAGCATTCCTGGGCTTCTTTTCAAACTCAGCTTCTGATTGTCAGTGCCTGGTCTGCGTTTCCCTTCCCCTAAGTCCGAGCCCTTTTAGACATTGAGGACTTTGAGGTTACAGTGCCCCTTGCAAGAACCATACCTGGAAGAGCGTGAAGCCGCGGTAATACTCGAAGAGGATGCAGCCGGTGCTCCAGACATCGCACGGCTGCGCCCAGCCCAGCTCTGCAAAGAGAATCACAGTCACTGGGCGCTCCCAACACCTTCCCACCGGATTTCTCCTAGTTCCTTGTCACAACTGCAGGCATTACACAGAGACAGACCTAGAAGTGACCTGTGTGCTCCCCGGTGCTGTGCAAACACTGCTGAGTCTCCCCCAGACACTTTGTTCCAGCTTATGCTGACTCCACATTCCCCTGGAGCCAGTCTGAGCACTTCCCAAGTCCCCCAGGCTTTCCTCTCTGCACTCCATGCCAAGAGCCCGCCCTATCCATGACTACACCATCAGGACCTTGGGATCACCACCGATGCATGGAACAGGCCTTCCCCAAGAACCAGGGTGCTCTGAAGCTGGTTTTCCAGCACTCCCTGGGACAAGGGTTCTCCCCCATCCTCCAAGCCTCCCGGAGTGCTCACCCAGGATGACTTCTGGTGGCCGGTAGTGCCGGGTGGCCACGATCGTGGTGTGGTGCTCGTGGTCGAAGGTGGCGCTGCCGAAGTCAGCCACGCGGATGCTCGTGTTCCGAATGGATTTCTCCTCGCAGCTCTGCAAGCAAAGAAACCCTCGCTACTTCTGGGAGCTGGTCCAGGGTGAAGCCAGGCTTTGAGAGTAGCCCTGGCCTCAGAGCTGCTGTGTCTGCACTGCTAAGGACAAGGATGGTAACTGCAAAGCTCTGAGCTCTTTACATCTTGGCGCTGAGGAAAGCCCCCAGTGCTCCTCCACGTCCTGGACTGGAGCCCCTAAAGCAGTCTTACAGAATCATAGAATGGTTTGGGTTGGAAAAGACCTTAGGGGCATCCAGTTCCAACCCCCCTGCCATGGGCAGGGACACCTCACACTAAACCGTGTCACCCAAAGCTCTGTCCAACCTGGCCTTGAACACTGCCAGGGATGGAGCATTCACAGCTTCCTTGGGCAACCCATTCCAGTGCCTCAGCACCCTCACAGTAAAGAACTTCTGCCTTAGATCTAACCTGAACTTCCCCTGTTTCAGTTTGAACCCATCACCCCTTGTCCTATCACTACAGTCCCTGATGAAGAGTCCCTCCCCAGCATCTTTGTAGTCCCCTTCAGACACTGGAAGCTGCTATGAGGTCTCCACACAGCTTCTCTTCTCCAGGCTGAACAGCCCCAATGTTCTCAGCCTATCTTCATACAGGAGGTGCTCCAGCCCCTGAGCATCCTCGTGGCCTCCTCTGGACTTGTTCCAACAGTTCCATGTCCTTTTTATGTTGAGGACACCAGAACCGCACACAATGCTCCAGGTGAGGTCTCACAGAGGGGCTTTCAGAAGACATGGGAGAGGGAAAGGCCAGTTTGTTCCCATTGACCAGACTTCCAAGGCCTGGTGTGGGGCAGGCAGGGAACAGGGAAGATGCAATGTCTGCAGGGAGGGAAGGGCAGGCTGCTCCCCATCCATCGGACACAACCCACCTTTTTCTCATTGTAGAGAGTGTCAAAATCCGAGTTGACAAACAAGATGTTTTCTGGCTTGAGGTCGGTGTGCGTCAGTTGGTTCTCATGCAAAACTGCACCAGGGTGGAGAGGAGAGGGAAAACACACTGTGAAGCACCCAAAGGACTGCCCAGCCAAGCACCAGCCAGCTCCTCCTCAGCTCCCTCCCATCCCACCCCTGGCCCCGGGGACGTACATCTCAAGGCATGGCAGAGCTGGTAGGCCATGTGCCGGATCTGAGGGAGAGGGTATGGCTGGAAGTTGTTCTCCTTCAGGAACTCAAAAGTGTTCTTGCCCAGCAGCTCGAAGGCGATGCACATGTGGCCGTGGAAGTTGAACCAGTCTGACATCAGGACACAGAGGCTGCGGGGAGGGTTAACATCAGGCAGGGCAGTCCTGCACGGTTCCACCTGCTTCAGAAGTGGTTGGTGAGCAACAGCTCTGGGCCAGCTGACTCAGCAGCTCTCCTCTTCCAAACCTCAGGAGGAGTTTGGCACAGGGTGCCCAGAGAAGCTGTGGCTGCCCCATCCCTGGCAGTGTTCAAGGCCAGGTTGGACACAGGGGCTTGGAGCAAGCTGCTCCAGTGGAAAGGGTCCCTGCCTGTGGCAGCAGCTGGAATTGGATGAGCTTTAAGGTCTCTTCCAACCCAAACCAGGCTGTGGTTTTATGGCCCAAGCACGCCACTTGTCTGAAGGGACGTGGTACCCAGGAGCCTTGTAGGCACTTACAATTTGTTCTCCTTATCCTTCTCTTTGATCTTTTTGAGGACGTTGATCTCCAGCCTGGCTGCCTCTCGGTACTTGCCAACATTCTTTATGATTTTCAGTGCCACCTGGGATTTGCCTCTGTAAGGGAAGAGACCGAAGGATGGAGTCAGAGACAAAGCCCACGTACACCCGTCCTCCTGCACACAGCGAGGGCACAGCTAGTGTGTTAAGAGGCTTAGTCATGCTCTCAGGGGCTGCCAGAGATTGATGCTGCTTGGCCAGCAGTTGACTTGCAGGGAAAGGCTGCTGCTGGGTAACGCTCCAAAGAGCTGCAGCCACCTCCCCTCTCCAGGTGTGCCAGAGGGGTTCCCAAGGAGATCCCAGCAGCCCCTCCACTGACCCCACAGCTCAGAGCCGGACAAGGGGTCAGGAAGAGGCATGGTCAAGTGTAACCACAGGAGAGGTTAAACCAGAGGAGTACCCTGGCACATTAAGAGGTCGCTTTCCCCCCTGCCTGGCCCATCCCTCTGCTGCAGTTGCTGCAGTGGAGCAGCCTGTGCCGAAGCACTTGGCTGCAGAGCACATCCCTGCCTCCCCGTGAGCCAGGCACGAAGCAGGCCCCTTTCCACTTGCTCTAACAACCGAATTCAACAAGCGGGAGGTGACAACTGCTCCCAGGCCCAAGCTGTGACGCTTGCGAGCATCCAAGGGACACGCTCTGTGGAGGGGAAGGCGCCCACCTGGCATGGTCCACGCACTCCACCACCTTGCCAAAGGTGCCCTCGCCGAGGCTGCCGACGATCTCATCTAGGAGAGAGAACAGGAGCGGGCGTGAACGCGGGAGCCCGGGCGGGAGCTGAGGTCCTGCCTCTTCCCAGCAACACCACGGCAAAGCAAAACCAAAGCATCTCAGCGCTACCCTCGTTAACACTCAAGTGTCTATCGGCTGCCTGAGGCATTTACTGCTCGCTCCAGTTACAAGCAATCAAACAGCAGAGCCCCCTCGAGGAGGGCACGAGAGATGTGCTCTAACACGGGGATAGAAAGAGGTAAAGTTTTACGCAAGGTGGCTGTACATCGCTCGTGAAGCCAATCGCCGATCCTGCACACCAGGTGGCCTTCCTTGTCATCTTCCACGCTCCTGCTGCGCTTACTGCTCTGTTGGCTTCTCTGTACGCACCGCCCCCCGCAACGGCACACCACCGGTTCCGAGCGGCATTCAAAGGTTGGAGATGACGGTGCGTCGCGTTTCCCAGATGCCAGCATTTCATAAGGCACACGGCATATATAACGATAGGGATATTGCAAGGGACACGTCAAGACACAAACCGACTTCAAAACAGAAAAGTCATCAACAGCTACAGGTATGTAAAGAAAACTCGCTCATACGCTCCGCGGAGGGGAAATGCCCCCCCCTCTTCTTGGTCTAGGGTGAGGTGCCCGTGGCAGGAGGTTGGAAGTGCATGAGCTTAAGGTGCTTTCCGACCCAACCCAGGCTGGGGTTCTGTGAGTCTCGGAAGGGAGGCGGCAGCTGGGATGCTCAGCTCCGAGGCACCACCGTTGCCCAGAGAGCAGCAGATCCCGAGGATGCTGCCGGAGGCAGGGGAGGAGAAGGGCTTTGCCAGGAGAACCTCACCTTCTCCGCTGGCAACCGTGATGAAGGGCACCTGGTGCTGTTGGTTTGGACAAGCTGCCCAGTAGAAGCCAGAGGAGCAGTTCTCCCTCGGAGTAGCCCTTTAGAGCCTCGGTTAACACAGCACCACCTACCCAGTGTCCTGCCCTTCCTGACGGAGCCAGCTACTCACTGTCCCGAAAGCCACACACCGGGCTCGGTGCAAACAGACCTGGGGCTGCAGGATGCAGCTTTAAGCCTGAGGGGACTTTAGCTGAATGAATCCCCAGGGACCATTTCATTCCAGGCATCCCCTAAAGGTACGAGGCCACATTCCCCACTGCTACCTCCAGCTTCTACTGGAAAACCAGCCGAACGTTCCTGCAGGGACCTGGGGTCCACAAAGCAAGACCCTGCCCTAACTCCTGCTCTGTTTCTAGTCAGCCTTCAAAGTAACTTACAATCTCCACAGCCAAGGAAATGAATCCAAAGCTCACCATTCCCAGGCTTCTCTTTGCGTGCCCCCCACAGCTAGTCTGGAATAATGAGCTACAATCCAACCTCTAAAGGTCAACTGAAGGAGGAGAAGGGGGAGAGGACAGACAAATTTGAGGCTTCAAAGGGTTGAGATCGCACCAGCCCCAAACCTGCACCTCGTTATCACCATCACACGCACACCCCGAGCACACCGGAGGGTTTCCATCCTGAGCCTGGCTCTTCCTAAAACAAGGCTTAAGAAGTCAACTGCACAGAACCAGGGGGAGGAAAGCAGAGTTCCCGGGCACACAGCATCCACTGGGACTGCAGGGATGAGGGCTCCCTCACTGAGCTGTCAAAACACTCAAAAGCAACAAACGGGTGGAAGATGGAAACATCCCTTACAGGAGAGAGGGGTGAGGCAGAGACCTCCCAATGCTTCCAGGGCACTCCCAGGAGCAGCCTTCCCACCCGCTTCCAAATATTCCCTATTGATCCTGGGAAGGAATGGACAAGAGGCAAGTTCCAAGCTGCTTGTATGGAACCAGGGAAAGAGGACGTGTGCACATCCTCGGAAGGCAGAAGCCTTTCCCTGTGCCCCGTGGGACAGGGGTTAACACCACCAGGGCTACGACTTGGGCTGGCTGATCCCATCTGCTACGGGATGCTGGCACGGAGGCAGCTGGACGTGCCCCCACCAGAGCTGGGTACCAGTGCTGCAAACCAACCCCCCCCCCCCGAGGGGCTGCAGGGAGCACAACAGAGCCCTGGCCACGTCCAAGCCCCACCAGTGCGGTCCCTGCAGCCAGGCTGGCCTGGGCCAGGGCTCCCCCTCGCTGGGCTGTCACGTGTGTGCCATTTGAAGCCTGCCCTGATCCCCTCCTGGCTGCACCGAGCACAGAGCTTGGCTTCCTCACGTATTCAGGCTACACAGGGGCTGGACTAGCACGAAACCAAGAGCTACGAACACTCCCTGCTCAACAAGACACAGGCTCTGGACTTGCACATTCCACATTGCAATGAAACACACAGAGGAATGGGATCAGAGGTACTCACCCAGCGCTCCGAGCTGGAAGGAGGCAAGAACAGTTAAAACCCTGAGCAATCCTCAGCTCGTTCTGGATGCTACTCACCGAGGAGGTACTGCTACAAGACCTGGTCCTGCGCTTCCGGCAGTGGTACTGGTACTTCCTGGCACGGTGCTGCTCCCGGCCTCTGGAACGCCGCCAGTTCCGCCCGCGGCCCGAGTAATAATCCTCTCCGAAGGACGGGCTTCGCTCTTCAAACCTGTAGGCATCGCTGTCCCGCCTGCACCGCCGCGGGTACGGCATCCTCTCAGCGCTGCGGCACAAGCAACAACGGCTCCGTGAGCCTGGAGAAGGCACGGTCCCCATGGAACCGAGCGGCCCTGGGGGACGGGGACAGGGGCACAACAGGAGGGTCCCAGCTCCAAACACCCCTCTGCTCAGCGACCACTTCTCAGGTGGTTGGAAGAGGCCACGGTGTGGTGTCAAGGGGATGGGATGCTCTGAGCTGCATCCGAGCTGCCTGCCTCACCTGAGCCCCCTCTGCCAGCACGCACAAGCGCTGTGTAACAGCCCCCAGGAGGATCCCTCATTAGTTCTTAAAGGAGGACCGAAGCCAGCAGCGATGCTGCAGTCACTGCCCCAAGGGGGACTGGAGGCCCTAAGCCACCAAGCACACACACACACACACCTGTGGGTCACAAGCAGCAGCCACAAGGAAGACTTGGTCTCCATGGTGTGAGCAGGCTCCTGCCCCATGCTCCATGAGCCAGCACCACAAACTAGAGCTGTGCTTCTACCCTAGGTCTGATAACCCAGCTTCCACTCCAAGCCCTGCGTCACAGCTCCAGTGAGAAGCTGTGATTTAGGTAGGAGATGTTCCCACATGGATACTCGACCCCAAACACCCCCTTGGGAGACTTCATCGAGAACTTTTAAGATCCAGAGGAATGGAAAGAACCTGAAGGACTCAGGTACAGAGGAGACCAATGAGCCTGCGAGTTTAGGCTGAGGACAAAGGGGCAGGAAGGTCGTCACTAAACCTGGGGCCATCCCAACCCCATTCAAGTGGGAGATGGAAAAGCCCATTGCGTGCACCAGGAGTGCTTCCTCATCCGCTTCCTTCAAGTAACCCCAAGCCAGAAATTCACCTGTAGAACACGCTGGGAAGCTAAGGATGAGCCCAGCTCCCTTCTGCCTGCACCGGCTCCGGCACCACAGAGCAGTGAGGACCCAGCAGCCCCTTTCAGTCCCCACCTATTCCAGAACCCTCGCTGCAGCTCCCAGCCCTTATCCAGCACCTGACTGTCCCTGTGGGAATGCTGAACAAAGAGAGGTAACATCCAGAGCAGGAAAGCTCCCTTGGCAGCGCTGGATCCTTCTGGAGAGCACAGGTGAGGGCACAGCCGCTCACTCTCCCATCTGTAATCCTTGCAGGAGCAAGCGGGCTGTGGGACAGGGAGGCTCCAATGCCCCCAGAGCATCGGAACCAGGAAGCACCATCCCAGGGCAGGCTCTTCTCCCTTAGCAATGTTAAAGGTGCTGCTCTGGGACCAGCTTCAGGTTGGTGCTGCGGGAGGGATGCTCACGGCATTAAACCCTTTACTTCCACCGCTGGGATTTACAGGCTTAAAGCCGAGCTGCAGCTAGGAAACGAAAGGGACCAGGGCAGGGACCGGGGTTATGGGATGGAACCGGCCTCAAGCTGCACCAGGGCAGGTTTAGATGGAGCTGAGGAACAATTCCTTCCCCAGAGGGTGCTCAGGCATTGGAACAGGCTGCCCAGGGCAGGGCTGCAGTCACCGTCCCTGCAAGTGTTCACACAGCGTGGAGATGAGGCCTCAGTGCCATGGGTTAGTGGTGGCCTTGGCGGTGCTGGGGAACGGTTGGACCGGAGGAGCTGAGCGCTCTTTCCCACCCCGGTTGATTCCCGGCTCCCGGTGCCCACCCCCGGCCCTCACCTCCTGGACCGTGACCTCCGGCCGAGCTCCCTGCGGGGGGGCTCCCGCAGCCTCCCCTCGCAGCCGTCCCTGCTGCGGGACCTCCTCCTCTTCCAGCGGTGGCCCAGGCAGCCCTGGGGCTGCGGGGACCGGTACCTCTTGCAGTGATGCATCTGCGGGGACAGGCGGGGTCCGGCTCAGCCCGGGCCCCCCCCGACACCGCGGCCCGGCGGTGCCCCCAGCCCCGTTACCGGTTCCCCGCCTCTCACCGCCGCCCCGGGCCCCTCCGCCCCTGCGGCCCGGACCCAGCGGCCCCCAGCGCCGCCGCTCAGCTCCGCTCCGCTTCCGCTTCCGGTGCCGCCCCGCGCGGCTCCGCCCGCCCCGGGGTCGCGGCTCAGCAGGGCCGGGGCCGGGCCGTTGGGAACGGGGTGCGGGGGGGGAACGGCTGGAACATCACTGTGACGTTGATCCAGGGAGACAGGGAGAGACAGAGAGCCATGGAGCCATAGAGCCATGGAGCCATGGAGCCATGGAGCCATGGAGCCATGGAGCTATAGAGCCATGGAGCTATGGAGCCATGGAGCTATGGAGCCATGGAGCTATAGAGCCATGGAGCTACGGAGCCATGGAGCTATGGAGCCATCGAGCCATAGAGCTATGGAGCCATGGAGCCATAGAGCCATGGAGCCATGGAGCCATAGAGCCATGGAGCCATAGAGCCATGGAGCCATAGAGCCATGGAGCTATGGAGCTATGGAGCCATGGAGCTATGGAGCCATGGAGCCATAGAGCCATAGAGCTATGGAGCCATAGAGCCATGGAGCCATAGAGCTATGGAGCCATAGAGCCATGGAGCTATGGAGCCATGGAGCCATAGGACCATGGAGCCATAGAGCCATGGAGCCATGGAGCCATAGAGCCATGGAGCCATGGAGCCATAGAGCCATGGAGCCATAGAGCCATGGAGCCATGGAGCCATAGAGCCATAGAGCCATGGAGCCATAGAGCTATGGAGCCATAGAGCCATAGAACCATGGAGCCATAGAGCTATGGAGCTATAGACCCCTAGAGCCATGGAGCCATAGAGCCACAGCTGGGGTTGGGTGGAAGGGACCTTAAAGCTCCTCCAGCTCCAACCCCTGCCACGGGCAGGGACACCTTCCACTAGAGCAGCTTGCTCCAAGCCCCTGTGTCCAACCTGGCCTCTGAGCCCATCTCCGGGGCTGGAGGTTGGTGCTGGTCCCTGTGACCTGATCGGCTCAGGAGGGGTGCGAGTCCTCCTGGGGTGGTGTCAGCCCTAGGGATGGAAGAGGAGCCTTCCTGTGCTTCCTTAGGGAACATGGGTTTCCAAGGGATCTCAGGGTTTGGAAGAGAAAAACAAGCAGCGTCCCACCAGGATGCTCCTATCCAAGCTGGGCTCCCTCCAGGCCCTTGCTAAGGAATCCAGGCTGTGCAGGGAGGGGAGGGACGGAGGGAAGGAGGCTGGGAATGGGAGCTTGCCTGGAGGGGTGGATTCCAGCCCAGACAGCGGCTGCCAGCACTGGGGGGTGAGCTGGGAGGGCTGCAGTGTGGCCACCACGGGTGCACAGAGCCTGTGGGGCTGGGGAGGAGGCAGGGGCAGTGATTTGGGTCCCTTTGGGTGCTGGGGCAGCGGGGCTGGAGGATGCAGCACAGCAGTGACAGGGCTGGGGGGTGTGTGGGCATGTCCCACACCTCGGGGTGAGGTTGGGGTGGCTGCTTTGGAGCCATGTCCCTGAGCACCCCAGAGCCAGGGGAGCCCCTTCTATCCCAGCACCATCCTGCCTCCAGTCGTGGTGCTGCTGGTGGCTAAATCCCATGCCCCAAGGGTGTCTGCTCCCCGCTGTTACCAGAACCCACCATAACTGCTTCAGGCACCCAGCCTTAAGAGCAGGTGAGTCCTTGGGCTGCTTCAGCAGAGCTTCAGTGGGGAAAAGCTGGAGCTGGGAAAAGCCAAACCCAGCAGTAGGGAGGAATCCTGGGGGAAAGGCTCTGCCATGGCCTGTGTGCTGCCCCGGCACGCTGGGGCCAGAGCCCAGGCAAAGCGAGCCCACAACAGGGATGCTGGGGACAGTGAGGAGGGAATCTCCCATGCAGTGAGCCCCAGCATCACCGCACTGGTACCCACTGCCCCGAACTGCACCACACCAGGCTGACACAGCCCAGCCCTCCAGGGGCACAGAGCCCTGCAAGGACCCAGGGCTCCCCCAGCCCACGGGAGCACCTTTGTGGCATGAAGAAAGGTGCTGGGAAACACTGAAATCCCCTTGGAGTGAGGAGCCCGGGACGGAGGAGACGGGCAGGGGCAGCGTGTGAAGAGGTAGAAGTTTATTGGAATATAAACATTCAGATAACCTGTAAGATAGAAAAAACCCAACAACAACATATACAGACACGTGTTGGAAGGAGACGTTGAGGTATTTATCCACCGCCTAGGCTATCACACCTTTATTTAGTTATCTTCTTTTTAAATAGCTAACAAAACTAGTAGCAAGGCTGCTGCAGCTGCTTGGAGAACCGGTGTTCCGATGTGAATCCCTCTGGAGCACGCACACAGGCATGGGGCGTTCACATTCACTTTGGGAGCAGAGCAGCCTCCCCCTCACCTCTTCCCCCCCTTTCCCAGCTCAACCGGACACTGGGAGCTGCCAGAGGAGGAGAAGCAGGTTTGGGTCTGTGGTCTGTGTTGGACATCGAACCCAGCTGGTGGCTCTCCCCCCGCCCCAGCTGCAGCAGCAGCATCGGAGGCTGCGTGGGGCCTCTCTAGTTTTGGTGTGTGAGTTTTGGCTGCTCGCTGCAAAACCTTGGCTGGTCTGGAGCTGGAGAGAGCCTTCAGCAAAGCAGAGCGCTTCACCCGAGGAGCAGGCCTACCCGCAGCATCGAAACCCTGAGAACTCGACAATCGAACAGGGGCGAGGGAAACGAAGGGCAGCCGGAGCGAGCAGGGATCCCCCGTCCTCACTCAGCATCCCCTGGCTCCTCTGCCCCATCCCTGCTGCTGGGTTCCGTAACCCTGGCCCCAAAGCCCGGCACCTCAGTAGATCTGGAGCTCAGCAAAAACAAGGGGTGAGCCAGTGTTAAAGCCGGGCTTAGGGGCAGGGTTACTCTTCACAGTCTGAGGGGTCCATCCTGCGCGCCGCGCGCTGAGGAAGGACCAGTTTATTGTCGCAGCTTATTTGTTACTGAGGTATCTGTTACGCATCCTGACTTGCTTCTTTCCCTGAATCGGATACAAAACAATCTGTTAGTCCCTGTCTAGTTCCAGTCTAGTTGTGTAAAGCTTATAAACATTAATACTCTAGTAGTGTCAGAGCTGTTGGAGCAGGTCAGTGATTCGAGTGCCTTTCTGTGCAAGAACACACAATGTTAGCATGTGATACATAAGCAAAACCACCCATTACTAAACCTCTGCTCCCCAGGACCAGAGAAGAAAGCATAAGGAAAAGCAAAAAAGTGCCCCAGTCCCACTCAGAGGAAACCCCACCCCCAAAGAAAAACCAAAACCAGATAAAAAAGGGAAAAAACCCAACAATCTGAAGGAGTCCCAGAGGCTGGAAAATCCTCTCCGAGGAGGAAACGCGGTGGGGGCCTCGCGGGATCTGCCAAGCAACCGCCCCACAGCCAGTGAGCGGCTCGGCTTCCCCATGCCCAGCTGAGCACTGGGATACCTGGCAGCAGCATCTCTCTCAGGACACACGCATCCTCCTCGAGCCCCCAGGATGGCAGCAGCAGGGTCAATCAACCCCTGGCATCTCAGCTCACCATTAGAGAGTGTGAGAGCCTCTTGCGACTCGGAGGTGCTGCCCGAGGCTTACACAAGTAATCAAGGCCGTACAGCCAAGGAGTGCTGGGGGATTACAAAGGAGAAGCTGACATGTGAGACTTTAAAGGATCATTCATTCATTTCTACGTGCATGTTTAAGCCCAATCCTCCTGCTCCTGGCTCCGTGCTTTTTAAAGCCACGGCTTTTCAGTAGTCTAAAGCAAAGAGCTCCTAGGAGCAGGACATCCTGGGAGCACAGGGCTTCTTCCCAAAGGCTGCCCAGTGTGGCTTAAGTCCTGTATTGCAGACACAAGCAGCTCTATGTGGGATAAAGTGGTGGCTGGGTGCAGCAGCACAAGACTGAGCCGTGCTGCCAGGGGCCAGAACCTGTATCTGTGTCACATAACGTCACCTAAAGCAGAGCTGGCACCTCCAAGCTGCCCTGAGCACCTCTGCCAAAGGCAAGCACAGATGCAGGAGCTTGGAAAAGCCACCAGGAGCTTGGAGACACCCTCGTGTCCAACAGGAAGGACAGCTCTTTTAAGGGGTTGCTCCTGCCTGCTTCTCCTACCTCTACCTGACCTGCTGGGCCATGCACGTGTCCTGGGGCGATGCTGCTCAGGGTGTCCCTTGCTGGCTGAAGGCTGGGGAAGCCACTGCTCCTTTGCTCAGCCTTTTCCTTTGCCTTTTGCCAAACCTTGTCTTTGGTGATCGAGTTAAAAAGGAACAATAAAACACAACGTCAGCACAACCACGTATAAAACCAAGCGATAAGATATGCCGAGGCTTCCTGAAGAGGTCCAAAACCAACCGACCCCAAACAAACAAAAACCCCCAACAACAAGTACATATCTGAGGTATTTCATCTGCTCAACAAAACCTGACTCGGGTCTGGAGGATGGGAAGGACGTCACCGGGGCAGGATGGTGCTTGCACCCCATCTCCAGGCTGGGGAAGGCCAAAGAAGAAGAGGGACAGGAGGAGACCACCTGAGCTCATGGAGTCACTACGGAGAGCCAGGGCCAGCCTTTGCTTGCTGGCAGCTGGAGGTCTGAGGGGAACAAGGGCAAGGAAGGGCTTGATTTCCTTTTGTCTGCTTCCACCCAGCAGAGCAAAAGGTCTCAGCTCCACTGAAAGCTGCTTGCTTTTTGCTCACGTGCAATTAGAAGGGGACTGGGCTTGTTCAGAGACCAGCAAGAAGATGTGTGTGATGTTAACCGTGATGCCTGCACGCACCCCGCAGACCTGCTGGATTACATCTACGCATCACCCTCTGCTGTCTTGGTGTCCAGATGTGGAGAGCTTCTTCCAGGGGCTACTGAAAGACCCCTCATGAGAAGGAAGTCACCCTGAGAAGCCTCCATCAAGCTAAGGTTGTGTCAAGGGGGCAGGGGATCAAAGCACCAAGCCACCGGCAGTCCAGGGTGAATGTCAGTGGGATGAGTTCCTCAATGGGAGAGACAGACAAGCTGAAGGGCATTTGAAACTCGGCTGAAAGCCTGAAGGCAACAGGAGTGATGTGGCCAGCACCAGCCAGGAGGGTGAAGTAGCTGATGTGATGGTTTTTAATGTGTCTATGGGTCAAACGTAGCAGTGAGAAGGTGCCTCTCTTCTTGCCAAGGCCTCAAAGAAGAAGTTGGCTCCTAAGCCAAGAGCACGTGTTCAACATATGAACACCAGAGAACAGCAGAGCCTGAAGAGGAAAAGTGAGGAGGCTTTTGGCCTTCTGCAGCACAAGCCACATGAGGATGGGGTCTCAGGATTGTCAATACATGGGGATGTTTTGTGGGAAGAGCCCAGTGGCTGCTGGTTCAAGGAGAACCAAGTTTCCCTGCCCCATCTCCAGCTCTTTCCACCTGCCTTGGTGACGTCTTGGCCATCTCTCACCCATCCCGCAGCTCCTAGAGATGATCCCTGATTGGAAAACGCCAGGCATGCCCCCCCCCTCCATGTCCCACCCCAACAGGAACACAGCAAAGCGTGGGAGGAGGAGGAGGAGGAAGAAAACAAACAGCAAAAGGGAGGAAAGAAAGGGGAGAACAAAGAATAAAGGCTGGGCAAACAGACGATGAGGAAAAACTTGCTGGCATGGAAAGGTTTCAGCAGCAGCAGCATCATCATCATCATCTTGCCGTTGGCCAAGCCCAAAACCAGGTTCCTTGAGATGAGGTAAATCTGTGCGACTCCTTCCTGGCTCGCTCCCTGCGGAGGGGCAGGGAGGAAGCTGGAGGCCAGTGTGAGACAGGAGGGCCGGGCCTTCCATCAGAGAGACCAGCTGGTGGAGGGCTCTGCGCCGGGGGTTCCCCGCGATGAGGTAGGGCTGGGAGAGCAGTGGGAGCTGCTGCTGCTGCTGCACGAGCTTTGGGTGCTGGAGCCTGCAATGAGGTGGACGACGGGCTTCTGGGCAAAGAGCACTCCTGCAAGGCAGGGGAAGGGAAGGGTGAGTGGGACTGGGGGGTGGCATGGCTCAGGGGACAGCGCAGAGGGCATCCATCCAACCCCAAACAGCCCAACAGAGAGGCTCAGTGTGAAACCACGCAGGCCTCTGGCATCAGGGGTCACCAGGATACAGGGAGGGATCCCCTGAGACTTGCTCCAGCAGGCTCGTGCTTACAGAGGGCAAAGATCTCAAATGCCTTCAACACCTTTAGAGGAGAAGCAGCTTTGGTCGTGCTGCAGCACCAGGCCTCCTACCTTGGCTCTGTCACCTCTGTGACCTGCAGACGTGAATGGCTTGAGCAGAGCATAAGGGGAACAATTCCCACTTCCCAGAGATGTGTTAAGGTAAACCTGAGTAAAGCCACTCCTCAGGAGAAGAGGGATAATACTCCTTCCTATGAACACGTCTACAGACATCCCTTCCTTCAGATGTTTAACACAACAACCACCCGAAGGAAAGGGCATTCATCCCTAGGACCAAAGGCAAGAGGAACCACCTCCAGCTGAGCTCCCCAAGCTGGGCAAGCTGTGCCTGCTTTACTCTGGCGAAGGCCAGCCCCGGGATCATGCCACCCTCTCCCTGTGCCACCAGCCTGGCTCTGACCAGGTTCTTTCTCACCAGCGTAAGTCGTGCCGTTGATCTCCACGGACATGTTGATGCTCCCAATGCCATTAGGTGACACGTTCAGCGCCGCTGCTGCCGCCGAGTCTGCTTTGCCTTCTTTCAAGAAGGAAGAGGTGAGGGTTAGAGAGAGGCTGCCCTGGTCCCTGCACCCCCAGGGATGATCAAAGGCGGACACAACCCTCCCGGGGTCTCCTCTCCCCACGCAATGTATGACAAGTCTACAAGGGTGGGTAAGTGTTTCAGTATGAACTAAACCCACCGGCATTCACAAACCTCTCCCTGACTCAGTCTGGAAGCCAAATTAACATCCCCCTTCAAAGCAGCAGCACAGGAGACAAGGCTGGAGGCCATCAGCTGCATGGTGGCTGTGGGGAGCCCCAGCGCAGGGCTCAGGCTGCAGCAGCCCCAGTGGCCGCTGGAGGGAGGGGACTATCCACAGGGCTAAGGACTGGAAGCCGGGAACACTGCTTCCCTGCCCTTACAGTGGCAATGTGGGTTTTCTGTACCCCTGGAGAGTCCTTTCTAAGCTGTGACAGGCTCCGAAGCACCTCTCCAAGCTCCGTGCTGTTTCTATGTTGTCATTGGGAAGGTCAGACTTGCCCACAGGCAGCTAAGAAAGGTGGGAAGAGGCTCATTGAATCCTGAGGGCTCAGCCTGTGGAGACTAAAATCATTCCCAGCATTTTGATGTAGGAAGTTCAGGGAGGAGAGAACAAAAACGGAGCGAGATGAGAGGGACTGAACATCACTTGATCAAATTTGAATTCCCTTGCTCTCACCGGTTTCATCCTTTGTTTGGACGTGAATGTGAAACTGAGGTGACCTTCAAACTGATGTGAACTCCCAATCCCACTGAACTCCACAGCAACCTGCTGCTGCTTCCGAGAGGAACCTGCCCTCACCCTCTGCTGTACATACTTCTGGCAAAGGGTCTCTAGACAGCATTTCCCAGCACTGCTAGCAAAGCCCTCGAGAAGAACCCTTCCCTTTCTTTAAGCCATGCCAAACTTGCCTGGCCTTGTGCCTACACCCAAATGTACAATTAATAGTGGGGCTGAGACCTTTAATTTCAATGGATCAAAAGGTTTGGAGGAAGCAGCTGCTGGCCCTGACAGTTGTGGAGGCTTTGCCTGTGCACTGAAGTGCAGCCCCGGGGACAGGTAAAGGAGCCAGGGCACTTAATCAGCTTTTGAAGCCCCCATCTAAGAGTATTGATCCTGACAACGTGACCTTTCCAGGGCGACTCCCCTTCTCCAAAGCATTTCAGGAGCGCATTTCCCAGGCCATGAATGCTGCTCGGAGGTGACCTTCTAACCCAGCCTTGCCAGGAGTTCTCTGCCTGGAGGCTGTGGAGGGCTGCAGCAGATGTTGGTAGCAATCACCTGACTTGCTAAAAGCCATTGGGCCCCCTGCACATACACAGGTCTTTGTGGCCTCCTCATCACACCTGACAAAGGATTCCTAAAAGCTGGATAGCCTGCTAGCCACACGGAGGGAGCTGGTACCTGCATGATTGATTCAAAGGGTTCCTGAGCAGGAAAGGAGAGAAAACCATCCTCTGCAGCACAGGGCTGGTTTGAGACTAAGAGCAGGGCAGGGGAGAGCTGAGCATCTGGCACATGATGGGCTTCCCCTCCAAAATGTCCCCAAAAGGGCTGCCTTCGGCTAGATTAAGCCATGCTCTTGGACTTGACATATATACCACGTATTAAACATGAGGGGGTCAGAAGTGTGGCCCAAAGCAATTTCAGCTGATCCATGTGCTTCCCATGAAGGAAGGAGCATCCTCACAGCGTAAAACAGCACTGCAAGGCCAACTGAGCTAGCATCAGCTGAAACCACTCATGGAATCATAGAAATCAGCTAGGTTGGGAAAGACCTTTAAGATCATCAGATCCAACCATTACGCCAGCGCTGCCCAGACCACCACTAACCCATGGCACACACCCAAGGTCTGTGGAGGCGTAACAGCTTGAGTCCTGCAGCAATCTCACTATGCCAAGCACAGGAGGTCAGAAGCTCAAGTGGGTTTTATCACCTTAGATGCAGAGCTTTCTGAAGCTAGGATGCTTCTGCATCCCGGCTGGATTCAGATGATGCTGGATTACGCATCAGTAAGTAAAACCTAAAGCTTTGCAGTTATGCTCCATTTAACAGCTCCCTGACAGCGACCCCTGCCTGGCACCCAGAGAGATAACCAAACCTGTGTGCAAAGAGGAGCAGTTCCCTCCTTGCTGCAGCCTGCAAAGGCTTTTTGTGCATGCGGAGGTGCTGCTTACCCTTGCCATTGATTTTGATCTTCATGGGGATCTGCCGCGCCATGCTGAAGAGGTTGCGCTGAAGAGCCTGCTGCACAAGCCGCTGCTCCTCCTCGCTCATCCGGGACACCTTCTTCTCCGGAGGCTCTCCCGACTCCAGCCTCTCCCTCAGCTGCTCCAGGGTGGCTGTTCTTGCTGCCACAGTTGCCTGCTGGCTAGCCAAGGTCACTGGCACAGCAATACGATTTGGCATAGACACAGTCAAGGGCACACTGTCACCTAGGAAAGGGAATCGTAGAACGGTTTGGGTTGGAAAGGACCTTAAGATCATCCAGTTCCAACCCCCTGCCATGGGCAGGGACATCTCACAATAGACCACGGCTCCCATGGGCCTGTCCAACCTGGCCTTGAACACTGCCAGGGATGGAGCATTCACCACTTCTCTCGCAACCTGTGCCACTGCTTCACCACCCTCACAGTAACAAACTTCTTCCTTATACCTAACCTGAACCTCCCCAGTTTAAGTTCAGACCCATCATCCCTTGTCCTGTCACTGCAGTCCCTGATGAAGAGTCCCTCTCCAGCATCCTTGTAGCCCCCTTCAGACACTGGAAGCTGCTCTGAGGTCTCCACGCAGCTTCCCTTCTCCAGGATGAACAGCCCCAGTGTTCTCAGCCTTAGTCCCTCCCACAGCCCTTCCTAAAGCAAGGTTTAAACCACAGGCAAACCCTGAGCCACCCAAATCCCACTCTTCTCAAGTCCAAAGTCATCTGGGTGGGTGAGGCAGGAAACAACCATGCTTCAGTGCCTGCACCTCTTAACTCAGCCCCCTCTTTGCTGTGGAAGTCACTGACCTTTCCTGACGGCTGCTGCCGGAGACACCCGAGGGTTGCTGGTCCCGCTGCCCGGCGCCACGCCGATGATGGGGAAGCGGATCTTAGGGGGAGACAGGAGGGAAGGAGGCCCCGTGGTGCTGGGGGAGTAGCTGAACAGAGAGGAGCTGTAGCTGGGCCGCCTGCCCTCCCGCCTGTTGCCATCGATTGCAGCCTGAAGCTCAGCAGGAGAGCTGAGGGATTTCTTCTCGCATTCGTAGGCATAGAGGTACTTCATGTACCTGGGGAGAGGGGAGCACAGGGCAACTCAGCAGGACATGGAATCATTCAGGAAGGCTTTCAGACCGAGGCCCTCCACAGCTCTGGAGTCTTTGTGTGCATATCACGACCGCTGCTGTGCTTGGTTTGATAAGGACTGAGCAGGGAGGGTGCGGAGCACAGCTCAAAGAAACCTTGAATTTACTCATTGTGTGTAGGAAAGCACCTGCTTACAAACTGCTACCCCCACAAGGGCAGAAAAGAATCCTCCAGAATTCCCTTACAGCTGTGATACCATCTGAACTGACATGAATTAAGACCAGAACTTTTAACACCCTAACCCTGTTTGTACCAAAGGCTGCAGGAATGGCAACAGAGGCTCTAATAACTTCCAAGAAAACAGAGTTTGCACAAGAGCTGGGGTGGGCTCCCAAAGCCCAACCTTCCATGCTCAGGTCACTAAAGCACAGCTTCACCCTGCTGCTTTCACAATGGGTTTACTTTCATTCTTCTTCCTCTTCTTATCCTACTTCTTTTTGCCTCCTCAATGTGAAGTACTACAGGTCAGAAAGCAATCCCCACAGTAAGCAGGTGCTACATCCAAGTTTCCACATGGCAGCAGTGATAACAGACATGAAATGATCAAGTTCATACTTGATGCCTACAGCTTGAGAGGCCTCTCCCTTCCCTCCTTGCTGGGTCAGTGCTCTCTTCAGAGACACAGCCCCAAGGAGATTAAGCTCAGATGAGGCAGGGAAGGCACAGGGTAGAATTTAACCTTTAACATCTCCACCCCAGTCCCTGCTCTGCCCTCCCCAGTCCCCACTGGGTGTTCACATCTGTGCTGCTGGCCCTGCAGGACTCACTGGGTTCGAAGCGTGAAGGCGGCGCTGGTGATGGAGGTGGGCAAATTAAGGCCTTTGGTGATCTCTCGCCAGATCTTCTTGTTGATGATTTCCACCAGCCCTCCTTTCTCAGTCACCAGCTTATAGAGCATGTAGAGATCCAGGATCTGCTTTGCCATGATGGGGATCCGATTGATGGGAGTTCCTGCAGGGAAACAGTGGGAAGGAAGCATGGAGTCAAGAGAGAAAAATGAGGCCAAGCAAAGCAGCAGGTTGGAGCTATCGATCCTCTTCCTAATAGGAAATGGAGGCAACTCTATTTGTAGCCTGACTTGAGGCCTCTTGATGGGCGAGTAAATGAGGCAGAGAAGTGTAGCTACATGGCACGTCCTTTCCATGACAAATCCTTTCCTGCAGGCAAAAGCAATTATCGGACAAATAATAACCTGCAGCTAAGAGCAACTTCTGAAATAGAAAGAGGGGAAGTGGGGACTATTCAATCCTGGGGGTTTGAATAGGGAGGGAGCAGCACAGAGGAATCGTGTTTTATGAGCTCCCAGGGCAATCTCAGATACAAATCTGCGTTGCTCATGCTCAGGAAGGGGCTGGGATTCAACTCCCTCACTTCCCAGAGTTTGCTATCCCGTCTCCAGATGTGTACCATGGCATAACCCCGGAGTTCTGCAACCCAACTGCCGCTGGAGCAGTGATGCCTTGTGAGAAAGCTAGAGCAATCATGGGGATGGTGGAGGTGAGCAAATGAGCAGGGTAAGGGAGCATCACACATGGGTGGATGCAGGGAGAAGCACCAGGCATCCAGGTGCTTTTTAGAGTCCAGAACAAGGTCCTACTCTATCCTTGTGAGGACAAAGAGGGAGATGACAAAACTGAACCACAAGGATAAAGTTATCTTGTGGGTTAAGAGAGGTAAGACAATGTGGTTTTTAAGCTGATAGGGCCCTTTCAGCAGCACCTTCCAGTGCTAAAGGTGCAGGGTTTGAAAAGGCCAAACTAATGAGATTGAGGCAAGGAGAGGAAGAGGGAGGAAAACTGCTGATGTAGCAAACCTTTTCTTCTGCATAGGAAACGCTGTCCTGGATCAAAGAGCCATCCATCTGAGGCCAGTATCCTGCCTACCACAATGCTCAGCACCAGCCTTCACAGGAAGGCCTGGGAAGTGCCGTAATGGACAATTATGGAATCCCCAACCCACAGGGGAGGCTTCTGCCACTGCTCAGCAGCCAGCGACTCGGTTAATGCCCCGAAGCAGAGCAGTTTATGGCCCTTATAAATGGGGTTTATTCTGTTGAGTGAAAAGGAGCTCAGCTCGGCCCTGCAGATGTCCTCATTATACATGGAAGTGTAATTTTTCCCCCCTTCTCCTTTCTTTTTGAAGCCTGTTATGCATTAGCTCATGGTACCAATTCCCACCAGTTAACGGGATGCTGGGTAGGAAAAGGAAACTTGTCCAGCTTTAAAAGGGCCGCCTTCAATTGTACCAAGTTAACTAACTCTTCAGCTGTAAGAACACATCAAGAACAACCTGATGGGGCTCAGTCTGCCAGCTGTTCAGTTTAGATCTTTCTTATCCTCTTCTCCTTGCCTGGTCTAAACAACCCTTTCCTCATCCAAAAGGAAAGCCCACAGAGCAGTAATTCCAGACCCTCTTCCCGCATTTCAGAGACAGCTCCCTCCAGGAACTCAGACGTTGGAACTGGATGAGCTTTAATGTCCTTTCCAACCCACACCATTCAAACTCCCTGCAGCTCCCGCATTCCAGGACCCAGTTCTTCCCAAAAGGAATAACCCCAGCCACCATTTTGTCTCGGTGTGTTACTGCAGGGCTCCGGAGCACACTCAGCATCATCCCAGCCACGCGGAGGGCTGGGAGTGCTCATGTTACCAGCCTGGAGTTATCATTCACCAGCTGAGCCCAGGAACCAGAGTCACACCTGCAAGTGAAGAGCAGGGACATGCTTCTCTCCCAGGTCTCCAGGAAGGAGCAGGGGTGGGGTTTCCAACCTGAAAATGCCCCTTCCTTGATGGCTCAGCATTCCCACCCCAGCAGCACGGAGAGCCAGGCTGTCCCAAGCAGCACCTTGCTTCACTGATGCAGGATCAAGACCCTCTCTCCCCGACCCCTCCAGCAACCCCGTGCTGCTCAAAGCCACCCGCTTCTCCCCAATCCAATTTAGGGAAGAGCATTAACTTGCCCAGAAGGGACTTTCATCCAGCTCTCCTTGGACGGTGACCAGATGGAGAGTGAAAGGGAAGGGTCACGGATAAGGCTCCTCAGGCAAAAAAGCTGCTAATGCAGGACTAGAAGGAAATAATCTGCTTTGTAATACCCTGCATTTCTCCTAAATGCAGCTGGACCCTTCTCTACATTCTCCCATCTCAGCAGCCGAAAAGGTACACGAGGATACTTCTCCAAACGCTCCTGTGAAAGGCACAAACGTCATCTACACCAGTGGGAAATAAAGGCTGAAATGGGTTTCTGCTCCTAGCTGGAATAGAACAGCAATCAGCTCTGCCCTCCCCACCTCACGTTACTACCCCTTTGACACCTTCCCTTCCTGAAGCTTGCTTTTAAACAAGCCCCACAGACCAAAGTGCCCTGAAATGTCATTAATAGCTTTATAAACTGAACTGAAACCTAGAGCTCCCCCCCTCCCCAGGGCCATAAAATTCCTTTATGCAGCCTGAGAAACTTTACAACAGGGAGCAAACTACTTCCATCCCTCTACCACCGGAGCAAGGAGCTGGGATCATTTTCCTCCTGTGTTTTCTTACAGTACCACACCAAGTAATATCCCCCCGAGCTGCGGTTTGGAGCTTGTACTTTTCGAAGCAAGGTGGAAATGGGCATGTTCCCTAGGATCCGAGTGCTAAAGAGTGGAGGAGCACAGGAAAGCTGCTCCCATTCCCTTCTCCACCCCCAATGCCTGGCTGAGGAAAGGCAAAGCGATAAAGTCTTTATTGGAAACCCCCAGTGCTCCAACAGGAAAGGCTGAAAAACGAGTATCATGGGAGGATTGGATGCTGAAGCCGAGCGGATCCTTTCACAGGCGGCTGCAAGGCTTGTCAGGGGCCATGATGGATTACTGTCATCTGGCAGCATCAGGATTAATGATGTGGAGGTCAGAGGGGAGAATTCCAGAGGGAAAGGTCAGCAGCCGGGGGCACAGCGTAAGACTTGTTGCCTTTTGATGGCAAACTCATTTTACTGTACTTCCAAGGCTCTCTATTCCGCCAGCTCTCAAATGCTGTACTTACTGTGCCTGCAAAGAGCTAAAGCCTAGCTCAGGAAGAGGGCGAGGAAGATGACTGCCTCCTCTCCTACTTTTCCTGCTCTCTTTCTTTACTACAACCCCAGCTACATAAGCACGAGCCATTCCTATAAGGAATCAGCCAAGGTGGGGGGTCACAAGGAATCTGTTTCCACTGGAAAAAGGGATGATTCATAGTTGAGGAGCACGGGAGACCTGAGGAAGACAAACTCTAGGGCAGGGAAACGCTGGAAGGAGAAGGAAGAAGCACCCCATTGCCCATGGTTTTCCAAAGGGAAAGACAGCTCTAACGACAACAGCAGATTCTGGAGTGAGTTTTCCTGGAGGAAGCCTGACTGTAGCTATAAACATCTCTATCCTTCCAGGGAATAAGCAGCCTTCTCTGCCAGGCTGTTTCACCCCATTCAAGAGCCTCTTGTTTCAGGCAGATGTTAACAGAAGGCTTCTAGGGATAGGCTTCAATGTCCCCTGTATCCCCAGTGCTGGAGAGGAGCAACTGTTGGATTTCCTTCCTTCAAGAGCTATTTAAGAAGGGCCTGAGGAAGCTGTAAGCCCAGCTAATCTCTAAGGACTGCTTCTACACCTCTTGGCAATGAACCAGGGGCACTGGCTGAGCCATCACCCAGGTTCTGCTCCCCAGCCAGTGGCTCAGGGCTGGGGCTCAACTTTCCATTGCTTGAAAGGGAACTAAGCTTTGGACCAAGGTCTTCCTCACTCACCCACGCATGCTGCCAAAGTTGGGTTTTCTTCCTCCTCTTCACCCTATCTAAGCCAGACTTCAGAGTGAGGTCTAAATCTGAAGGTGTAAACTGCTGTTACACAACAAAAAACTGCTCCTGTGAGACTGTTCTTAGCCAAATTATAGAGGTGATTGATGAAAATGCAAGTCCCCTGCAAGGGCCACTCTGTGCTCTGCTCCCCTTGTGCTGAGCCATGCCCACTGCAGGGAGTTCCCCACATCAAGCAGCCTAAGCCATGACTTGCCCTGCACTCAAGAGACAAAGAGCAGTTAATTATACCCAGCCTGGAGCAGTACTTTTCCAACCACCTCTCCCCCCCCAATTAACTTTCAGAAGTGGCCATTTTTTAGTAAGGAACAAAGGAATGTGAGAATTCCAGACATTTATTCTGCAGAGCCACATTCACATTGCAATAAAGCATGCAGCCGAGTGAAAAACAGGCAGAGAGGGGGCATTCTGAAGCCACAACCTGTCCAGGTAAGGAAAGAGCTGCTCTTCCCACCTTTCACTCTGAGGATGCTCAGAAGAGAAGCAGCATCAACCAGCCAAAAGGAACAACTTTTCCCCAGGAGCCTGGCGAAGGCCACAGTGATTGAAAATGTATTTTGAAGCAACTCTTGAAGAGATCTTCATGTTTCTTTGACAGGAGACGGTGTAATTACCTGGTAGGAATGCTCTCCCCACTCTCCCAGCCCTGACAGAGGTAAAATACAGTTCAAATGCAAGCAAATCAACTTGAACCCTGCACTATCTCAGCTCCTGGTGTGCCTGAATTCCTCTCCAAGGACAAACCCTGGCTGCCTTCATGCAGAGCCGCCTGCTCAGCCATCCCAGCGTTAGATGTTGGGTTGACTGGATGGCAAAGTAAAAAGCAAAGCCTCCAGAAGGGGAAAGCAGCTTTTCCCTATCCTCCTTGTGGTGCCACAGCTGATGGAATCTCTCCCTAGGCATGGCACTTCCCCAGCAGGCATCCTCACCTCCCAACAGGAATGTCACCACCTGATCCGCAAGCCTGCAGACCATTAGACACTCCTATCAAAGCAGGAGCCGGGCTAGAGGGTAATTAATCATGCTCTATTTGACAGGAGGCCCACTTCTTATCTGCACCCCTTGAAACGCCATCAGTTGCTGCTTCCCTCCTCGATAAATGAGGCTGACAGCAGCCCCTGATCAGA